CATATACCACGATTCACCATGCCGGTCGCTCACAATCCTAAATTCGTAAGTGCCTACGATATAAGCATCCAACATTCACGGACGGACAACGCCGGACATCGTGAGAGAGAGAACTACCATCGTATCATACACACCTGACCTGCACATAAATGAGAGAGTGCTTTCCTCACTGTCTCTCAATCAACAGCTAAGAACAACAGAAAAGACACTTATAAGACGGAGTGAGAGTACTGGATACTCAACGCGCACAGTGATAATCGCCTTGGTAATGCGTTTACCACGCATCGGCACATAATTTCGTCATCACCTACTATGTCAGCCCCCCCCCAATTTTGCATTTTGAAATGCTCCCGATTTCTGAGGTCTAAAGGTTGGCAAGTATGGTTGACAAGCTGTTGTCCCTATTTATTTGACTCTGTTTGTTACAATGCTTGCTACTTATTCCGTTAATATTTTGGCTAATTAGCAAGAATGCAAGGAGCAGGAATCCTGGGTACGTGAGTGTTAAAAGTGCATTAAACTGTTTTAATCCGACAGCCGCTGATGTGCACGGAAGTCTGTCCGTTTCGTTAACATTTGAATAGCCAAATGGACGGAAATCCGTCCTATATGCGAATGAGAGGTTTGGCAAGCACGTGGCCGTGGCTCATTCCCCTGATAGGTGGAGAGTTGACCAATAAGCGGAGCACCTCTTTGTGACGTAGAAAAGTGTTGAAATCTGGATCAGTTTTTTTCAGATCCGTTGCAGCCCCTTTATAAGAGATTTGGCTACGGAGGAAAATAGAGAGGGTTGTGTTTTCTGACACTTGGTGAGTTCCCTGGAACACCGAGGACACATATTCATGTATAAAAGACGTACAAAGGTGCATTTTGCATGAGAGGTCCCCTTTAAGGAAAATTGTTTGCTGTTGCAGGACAAAGTAGGTCAGAGTGCACAAAGCTAAATGGGAAACAATACATTTGATCAATAAAGTGCAAAAACCCAAATATACACAATATAAACTTGAAGGTGTTTTCTACAGTGTGCTTCCCTTATTGACATAAATGTGGTGGACACAAATCAAGTAAATATCTGCTCACATGGAGGATCACATCACACTCTGCTCCTCTCCCTCAGACCTGCAGCCGTGCTCGGGCAGTGGTAACCCTCTGGAGGGAAACCCCCAGCTGGGCTGGGAGGGGCCGGGGGTCTCTTGTGTCTCCGAGCTGCAGGACTCCTGCGAGGACTCGCTTCCGCTTCTCCTGGACAGATTCCACTCGCTGACTGAGGCCGAGAAACTGTTAGACGAGCTGACGCAGGAGAAACTGCAGGTGAGGGCTTTTTATATCTCTGAGAGGAGCTGACTCACAGATCATCACACAGTGTTGAGCCACTCGTCAACCAGGGTTACGTAATCATTCTCATAAAAAGTATAAAATGTTAGGCTTATCTATCTGAGGCATTGTGTTGAACAAAACTATAGCAGAAAGTGATCAAATACATGTACCAGGCAAAAAAATAAGGATAAATAATAATAACAAGATCAAAGAAAACCAAACTTAAATGCATCAACCTGAATGTTAAATCATTTTACAAATTAAAAGGTAAAAACACTTTAACATTTAAACTCTCCTATCTTTTCAAACTATTTTCCTGTTGCAGTCTACTTGATATAAGTTTTTATTTCTTAGAAATATCATTAATAAAATCAAACCAATGATTTTCCAATGGCAGGTACCTCAGTTAGACAGTTCAATATAATGTCTAACTGAAGTACTTGTTGCAAAACGTTATGAACATCCTGCTAGAAATGAATTAATAATGGTCAAAAGGAAAATAGAATATAAAGAATGTCCTGGGAGAACCACACTGTCTCCAGCATTTAGAAGATTTGGTAATGAGTTTTCCAAACAAAGCTCAGTTCATAAAACAGAATTTGAAATGTTCCATTTACATCACATATTTTCGCAAAGGACATTTACTCACTTCCACATTGAAGTTCAGTTTAAAGAGCTTTTTATCTCTGGCACACGGGTCTTAACAGTGCAACTCTAATCCTCAGCTGACCTCTTATGTAACACGGACTTCATTATTTTTACACCACTCCTAAATGACTTCTATTTTTAGAAAGTTGAAGTCCTCTGTCCTAGTGCTAAGGGACATCTGGACACACACACACACACACACACACACACACACACACACACACACACACACACACACACACACACACACACACACCACCAAATGTGGTGAAAGTGATTTTCCCGGTTGTTTCATCAATATGATTATTTGTGGTACTAAATGCTAACTTGTGTGTGTTGTGCAGGTTGAGGCAGCTTTGAGTCGGATGCCTGGAGCCGGAGGGAGAGTGACTCTACAGACCCGGTTAGATGAGGTGAGACGCCAGATATATTGATCATGTTCAAACACTTTAGTTTTTTTTAAAGTAAGAGCTAAAGGCTAAGTGGATAACAGTTTTTTTTAACCAATTGTTGATTGTCAAGTTTCTCAAATGTGAGGAAGACTGCTTTTCTTAGTTTGATATAATTGTATTATTTGATATTTTGGGGTTTTAAATAAACACTTAGAGGTCACATTGAGCTCTAGGATATTATAATGAGCATTTTTCAAACGTATTTCCCTTTTTACATTTTATACACCAAACGAGTATTGAATAAATTACACAATTTTTTATAAAATGTTCCCCCAGTACAAACCTGTAACGATTAGTTCAGTATATACAAACACAATGATTGATTGATTAATTGATTGATTCAAAATGTTGTTATTAGTTATTGTTTATATATTTTCTAAATGATCGATTGAGTTTCCCATCATGAAACGACTGTGAAAATCTCTTGTGGATTTTTGCCATTCGAGGGCTTTGTTTTCATTCTTAATTCATGGGGTTAGTGAAAAGTCAAGGATTCACCAAAAATAATTAGCATTCATCCTCTGAACTCCATAAATGTATGAGCACATTTTTATGGCAATCCCTTCAAAAGTTGTAGAGAGATATTTTAACCAAAGTGGTGGACTGACAAACAGATTGCTATCATGGCTAAAAAGCTGCAAATCTTTCCGTTTGAAGAGCAGAAACCAGATCATTTATCACATTTTTGCTTCATAAATAAGTGAAACTAATAACCAATCATCCAAGTAGTTAATTTTCTTCTCTTTCCCCTCCCCAGGTGGCCTTAGAGAACCGTCTGGAGAGGCTGAATCGACAGCTGGGATCTCTCCGCATGACTCTGAAGAGATTCCACGTCCTCCGCTCCTCTGCCAACATATAGCAAAGTCTGTCTTTTCTCACCACAGTGTAGAAGCTACAACTTTCATACACTGCACTGATTGTCTGCCTGTGCCATAAAACCATCTGTACAAAGACTCCACACCATCTTTTTATACGTATATCTCTGGGATATTTTTATATGTCTGAAAGATATTTCCATTTTTGGAGTATATTTTTAGAAATGCACAGATTTGTAAAGTCGTTTACTTTTTTAGTCACAGAAATATTAATATGATATGTTTTACTTGCCATATTCAGGTGTAGATTTTTAAATCTGCCATGTGAATGAATAATCAAAAAGGACTTTCCAGCAGAGACATTCATCCACTCGGGAAATATGACTGCCATTTTAATTAATGTGTCAATGAACATTTCTGACGTTGAAGGTGTTAGTTTTATGTTTTCGTACATTTTTAACATGTTTATTTCTTTTAAGAGTCGTTTTTTTCTATTTGCTTTGGGCCAAATGTATGAAACTTGAAAAAATAATTTGTTTACTTGAATCAAAATCGCCTTTTTGCTTTGTTTACTTTCCATTACTACTTGACACTTTCCTTGCTTTATGTTTCATATTTGTTACAGGACTGGACTCTCTGTATTGGAGCTCATTGCAAAATCCAAACCAGCACACTTTCAGTACACACACACACACACACACACACACACACACACACACACACACATTCTTTGTTGTTTCTCGATCGATGCTTGTGCATGGAATCTTGTGCACTGCTTACTTTTGCCATGCAGTTTTCAACAAGACGTGAACTTCACTGGAACTATAATATTGTTGTTGCACAATAAATTAAGATTTTTCTAAACTACTTGTAACGTTGTTCCTGTTATTATGACTGACTCGTTTTTTTAATAATTTTGAATGTCTTTGACACAAATATTACATAATATTTTTGTATATGAAGTTATAGAAACCCTGGCTGTTTTAATAGATCCTTTACTTAAGCAAGAAGATGAACCACACTAAAAACAATTGCCTACAAGTAAATGACCTGGATTAAATGCCCCACAGTCAAAGAAGTCATTATGCAGAATGCAGAATTCGAAAAAACTGATTTATATCACTGGATTATAACGTTGCATGCATGAATGTGTCCATTATGCCTACATATTATAATGTTGCAACTGGTAAAGGTTGAGCTCATATTAACTTTTGTCATATCTACTGCTGGAAGGCAATCTTTGGTTTTCAATGAGCAATTCAAGGTTACTAATTTGATGAAATAAAGTTGAAGCACAATATTGAGTTATTATAATAAAACTCTAGGTGGTACGTATTGTACATCTTAATGCTCATATTACAGTCCATAATTTTTTACGGCACATTTTGAATGTAGTAGGCATTTTTATACTGTTGTATCGCTACTTTTACTAAAATATCTGTGTTATTTATTCCCCCAGTGGTTCAAGTATTTCCAGCCGTAATGTCCAGATGACCCAGCCTGACTCCAGCAGGCGGCAGTGCACCACGGGGGGGCGCCCCTCTTCTTCATGTTATGCAGGAGGATGTGCTGTCTTCTTCTGATGTAACTGTTAACCTGATCTGTGCTCAGACACCGGCGACACACCGGAGCTCACACACACCGGACACACACAGCACACCGTGTTTAGTGATGGAGTTGCTGCGGGGAGGTGACAGGCCGACACATGAACGCTCCGAGCGGGGGACTACAGGACGAACAGCGGTTCCCCTCCAGCGCAGAAAATAAACACCATCACCGACGATATCATCACCGGGCGTCTGTTGGGAAAATACACCTTTCACTGACAGCGATGTTGAATTATGTGGAGATCCAGGTGAATAACAGGGACTAGCTGCTGGTGAGTCCCTCCTGATGTTGTGTTGTTTATCTGATTAGACGCTGTCAACACTGATTAACTCTCAGGCTTCACGTTAATTAGGCAGACTGACACGATGCAAATGTTAATTATCTCCTCCAGTATTTGTGGGAGTGTTTGCATTAGCTGCAGTGGTCAGGTGACATCCATCGTTGTAGCTTTCCTTGAACCAAAACAGCTGATCAATAGCATATATCTCATTGTGATGTGCTGTGCAGATATTCAGTCTCACACAGCACCCTCTGGCAGGGAGATAACATGTTGCATAAACCTCCTATGTTGTACTTAAAAGAGAGAGGGATGTTCTATCTCTGCATGTAACCCACCCAATAAGCCGTATAATGTACGGTATACATCGGCTTTAAATTAAGTATACTTCAATGTGCACAGATGGATTTGAGTAAATCCCCTTCACCCAACCCTCTGTATGCACCATCATTTCCCTACAGCAGACTATACACAGCCCCAGATTCACCATCACAACTAGATTAGAACTCTGGGTTCCTGTACAAAACAGGGTCACAACATGCAGGACTCAAAAAGGGTGGATATGTTGCTTATTTGGTGCACATTTCTGAGAAATCAACCAACCAGACTAACAGTATAGCTGCGTTAAGATAAAGACTAATGTTAGCATTGATTTGGACACTAGTCATGCCTTTCATTTGCAAGAAAAAAACATTATCCGTTTAGACTGGAAAATGTTAGAAAATTATGAGAAATACCATTCACCCCACAAGGAAGACTTTATACTGCTTGTTTTTGGCTAATCTACAGTACAAATATGTTACATGTATGGTTCACAAAAGACAAAGAAAAGTAGCAAATATGAACATTCAGGAAGATTAAAGAAAGAATAAACAAATATTTGAGTTTTAGATGAATCAATACAAATGTAAGCATCCCCCCTGCAGCAGGCCATCTGAGTTCATCACACATAATTAGGTATTTTTTACATTATATTTCTTGAAATTGTGACTTCCTCTTTCACATTTTCCCCCTCCTTTCCTACCCTCTTTCTGTAAAGCACAATATAAATAATTTAACTTGACTTTCTCTCATATTAACTGTCTGAAGTTTGACCTATCCTAGAAGTTGTCCTATACATCCTGCTCCACAGGGCTGGAGCTATTCTCAGACTGAAGGTGAAAACACTAAAGAGCTGGTGTGGTATGTGTGATTCACACCGAGCCTGAAACCTATATAGACGGATGATGCAGAGGGGCCAGAACTTTTTAGGAAGAAACACTTTACCCCTTGAAAAAGTTTCGCAGTAGCCACAGAGCTTAAAATAATCAGTGTTAGCGCATTTTCAGTAATGCAAATATAACATGTATCTTACTCTAGAATCTAGATAACCACATTAATTTGATAATAATTCTAACTGTAGATACAGTTTAATTGAGTAAAACAAGCCTGAGTTCTTAGCCTTTGAGCAAAAAGATACCATCAGCTTGCTAACATGCTAACAAATATAGTGCTAATAGGTTATTGTTAGCTCATGTAAGGTTTAGTTTTGTTAGCTTGCTAATTAGCAGGAAACACAACATACAGCAAAGACCAATACAATAGGAGTTCATGAATTTTGCAGGAATCTTGTCATACACCAAAGTAAAGGAATGTAAATAACAATTTAAAATGTAATAATTAACTGACAAAGGTTCACCAAAGTCAGTATGATTTCACATTTCAAAATTATGAAAGTTTTAACCAAATTTCTTGAAAATTCATCTAGTTGTTAATGGACTAACCTTTTCTTAAATATCAGGATTAGCTGCTTTTGCTTTATTTTGAAAAGTAAAATACAAATATTTGAAATTTAAAAAATATGTTAAATCATTAGAAAAACATCACTTTGGGTTTTGGGATAAACATTCTCATCAGTAGCAATTCATCTAGTTCTTGAGATATTGATACCAAACTCAAAATGTCCGCCTTGTTGTGGCACTAAAGGGAACATCAGGGGATCATGAAAGTTATAAGGGTTCATCCTTAGGGTATCATGAATGCCTGCACCAAATTTCACCTCAATCTATCCGATAGTTGTTGAGATATTTCAGTCTGAACCTGAGTGGCGCACCATCCACAAACCGACCTTTCCTTGGAGCCGTGCTGCTACAGTATCATGGCTACAAATCTTGGGTGTTATCCAAAGATTTGACTTGCTAATTTAAGTAGTATCATATCATCTCCACTATCACCAAAACCATCAGATCCACTGCATGAGGTTCTGTTTCCTCCCATTTCAGGATCAGTGTGCATAATTTGAATGTATGTGGTGGGGGACTGAAAGAAGATGGAGCCTCGCAGGATCTGATTATCGGGCCAAAATGATTAGGTTTGCTTTAATGAATGCTGTTAGGAAGTGGCCACCGCAGAAAGAATGAGTCATGGTATTGATTGCCGCCCCCTCCTTCACTTGCTCCTTCTCCCTCCTCCATACCCTCCCCCGTCTACCAATCCATCCTTACTTCTATTTTCTTTCTTCTCACTCCTTTTAAATCAATCTTCTCCCATCTCGTGGAACATGCCAGGTTTTTTCCTCCAAAGCTACGTCAGACAGGTTTTTTGAGGAGGGTTGGCATGCAGCCGGGCCGAGCGTTGCATACTAATAACGGCATGACTCGCTCAGCGCTACAGTCTGGATGAGAGGGGAGGGGGAGGTAGGGAGGATGGGGAGGGGGTCTTGTCACGAGATGCCACGTCATCACAGTGTGTGGAATCTATTTTTAGCAGGGTAAACAGAGGGATTCCAGCCCACTGATCATGGCTTCACAGTGCGTGGAGGCAGGCTGCAGACTGTAGTGTTGCACTTGGATGTGAATGGAAAACATTTCTTTTTAGTCCTGACGGTTTGCCTATAGCGTCACACCCTCTCCTCCCACCGCTTCGGCCTGTCAGGGAGAAACACTGCGCCACAAATAGACGGAAGATCTGCCCATCTTTCGCTTTCTGCTCCTTATTGTGCCTCACATGCATGGGCATATGCACAAGCCTCACATAGGAAATAATCTAGCATGCAGAAGTGAAAGTAACCAGCATTGAGAGCTTTAGTTGTGAGGATATTAGAGGCTGTTATGCAGTCATACAGTACAAAGTAAAACCAGATAAAAGACATCAAATAATAGATAAAATATATAATATACACTACAACATGAAGTGTAGGTGTCTAACTTGACGCTATACATTAATGAGAAGCTCCTAATCGTTAAATTATTACCATTAATATGACATATATATACCATTAAATGTTGCACCTTTGATCCTCATTGTTTAACGCACTCTGTTTATTTTCATACATATATATTTGACATATTGTTTTGGTCTAAATGTCTATTTTGTATTTTTAAGATTTGAGAAAATGTACAATTCAGTGCACAAAATATGCGTTTCATGTTAATGTCCTTAACCCAAAAGTCCTTAACCCAAAAGTCCTTAACCCAAAAGTCCTTAACCCAAAAGTCCTTTGGGTCTGTATTGAAAATCATCTGGTTTTATTCTGAAATATATTTATTTTTCAGAATTATAGTCCAACGATCTGCTTGATTGTTGCTTCTTTTAAGCTCCAGAAGTTTATTTACAGAACTACATGTAATCAATGATGGATGCATTTATTTTATTTTCAAAAAGTTGTTTTGCTGTGATTTAATACAGCAGACACTGAGAAAGACTGAATTGCATATATACAGCAATTATTGGGGTATTGTTCTGAGAATCCAAAGCTAGAGCTGTCATGTTTGGCCACGTTGGCAGTGCTCATGCGGTTTGTTTGAGCACTTACTCTAATTAACAATCGCCGGGCTTTGTTCAGGTCCAGCGAGGCGTTGTGTCCTCATCAAATATTCAGACGTACCATGTTCAGTAGTATGGATGAGGAAGAGCAACCTGCTTACCTGATACTTTGAGCGTCGCTCTGTTAGTTAAAGTCATCTCTGTGGGTCGCTTCCCTCGGACTCACTGACGTGCTCTGCAAGTGGAGCTTTGAGATAAACACTGATAATAGTTTTAAAGGGGCCCTAATATGCTTTCCCTTTCCTTTAGTCCGTTAAAAAAGTGTTTGTATGTAAATGATCCTCCCTTGGACTCCTTTGTTTACTTCCGTAACATAGTGACATTACTAAGTAACATGCGCTTCTTTTGGCTGGCGCTCCAACACATTGTACGTGATAGGCTAAGGGGCGGGACATCTCTAAGTGGTTGACTAATCACAACAGAGCCGGCCAGCAAACCAATCAGAGCAGAGTGGGTTCTGGTTTCAGACAGAGGGTGAAAGGCAGAAAAAGGCAGAATGAGAAAAATAAAGCACTTTTTGAACATTAAAGCATCTAAACATGTAACGTAGAGGAACACAAAATATTCTTTCTTTTAGACATTGCTAATGGCTGATTGGATTCAGATCACACACAGCTACTCCCTTTTTATGATGGCTTCTTATTGTAACTAAGCATTTGCCTTTTGAACATCCGGAACCCAGCAGGAGCTAATTTGCAACTACAGCAACAATTTGTCTACTATTTGCATTTTTCAGCTATTCATCACTTTTCAAAGCTCCTGTCAAATGAAATAGATGGCAAGTGTTTTTCTGTAAATTTACCAAAATGCATGACAATCCATATAATCATTGTTGAGATATACAAACAGTTAACAGACAGTTTTTGATCTGATGACTGTGCTACAACAAAAAGGATGTAATTCACCAAAGATATTACAATTCATCCTGAGGAGAATGTGAATGTGTTCCAAATGTCATGACAATTCAAACATAGTTGAGATGTATCCAAAGACTCAATATACGATGTGGATTTAGACACAATATTGTGACTAATTGTTTTTAGGTTTACAATTTCAAACTTCATAGATGGTGTTTTTGCTGTTACTATCCTCTTTTTTTGCTACCACAACTGGCAGGACAATACAAAGCAAGACCCAAACATGACATTTGAAGTGGGGACTGTAATGTTACAAATAACTCTTTAGCGTTAATGTCTAAGACTAAAATGTACAAAACCCATACTGGAAAACACCATGTTAGTGACCTGTCAATCACAAGGTAACCCTGCCCTAAAGCATGCCCTTCTTTATTGTTCATTTTACTCTAAATGGGACCATCACTTATGAATTGACATTATGCTGTATTAAAGAAGACTTGAAATGACCAATGGAGAATTAACTCATGTATAAATTACTTTATGAGGGAATTAATCAACTGAGAAATAGGGTCATTGCACATCCAACCAGAAAGGGCGAAGAGTACTGTAGATAAAGATTTTAGAACAATATTAAAGGGAACGCACGTTTTGCACATTGGCTTTTTAGACCTGGGTATCATGAACGCATGTATCACATTTGATGGTAATCCATTCAATAGTTGCTGAGATATTTCAGTCTGGACCAAAGCGATGGACCGGGTTTGTAATGATTTTGTGAGTGAGTGATACATCTTCTCTCAGACTTTATAAATGTGAGCAATCAAGAGATGAATCTGTAGTCTTAATAGATGCTTAATCCTGGTGACAGGACCGGGTGTCCCTGCAGAGCGTCCCCCCTGTCTCCCCCACCACCCCGGCTGTATATTAGCCGGCCTCGGAGGCCTGGAGCCGGGCCAAACAGTAATGGTATTGGCCCCGGAGAGTGGATCTTCCCCTCCTTATATCTCCTTCTAAATCTCCTCAGCTAAATGACCTGTATTCCTCTTCTGTCCTAATGTTTCCTTGTCTACTGTATATTAACATCAACCTGCCTCTGTGCTGTCCACCTCCACCTGCAGATCCTCTTATCGTGTGTGTGGGTGTGTGCATGAGTGCTCAGATGAGACTGTAAATGACCATGTGTTGATAGAGTTAATTGTGAGTTGTTGAAAGAGGCTTCTCTGATCTCAACCGCCTGCTGCTTCCTCCTGTTGGAGTTTCTCATGGATGTTTTTGATGTTGAAGGAATGCTTTTTTGCTGCTCAGCTCTGTACTCACTGACCTTGATTTCTATCTCATAGCCTTCATCACTTGACTTTTATCTGACACACATACATCTGTGATGTGCAGCTAGTATGTGTATCTTTTCTCTTGCAGTATTTGTTTACTTTGTGCCATTTATTATTGTGCTTCTTTGACTAGTTGAAGGACAACAGATGCAGTTTATCCTAAAGCTATGTTCCGTGACAGTGCATCAAATGGTGACATTTATGTGTACCGTTTTGTCCGATTTTCAAAAATAACTAGTTTCAATTATTTAAACGGATATTGCAATTGCTTTATGATTTATATACAGTCTATGTGTAAGAGGCATTGATCATTTTGCATCATATTTGCCATTTTTGTTGAAAAATATATAAATTGTGATTCATCGGTACACAATGCCCAATATAGAATATTATTTTGACACATTTTTGCTTTTTAAGGAATATTGTGTCTCTGGCATTTTAGGTATTGCAATTAAGATAAAATGAGTATGAACTGTTCATCGCTGTATTTTTTCCTCAACTCAACGAGGCCTAACTTAATAAAGGTGATAATAAAAGAGAGATTATACTGTATAATGTTGCATTTATAGCTTGTTTTGCTGCTTTCCTTTCATTATTTTAAAAGCTGTTCCTGCTGGTGGCTTTAAATCTAAACTTAAAGAGAACAGTTATGTGTTTGTTTTTTCATCAAGGGCAGCCAGCGAAAATACATCTGACTTTCTGTTTCCTCATTCATAAAATGTTTATTTTTAAATGAGCGAACACCATTATAGACTGAAGCCCCAGATGAACAGTGTGCGGGGTGATTAGCCTCCCTCCCCCCTCTCCCCCTTCCTCCCACAGACAGTGATGCATCGCCGCCATTTACCAGAACGCAGGAAAGCAGAGCAATTTGAGAAGCATCACAACTAACCCCTGTGGCCTGCAGCCGCCCGCACCACCATCCCCACCGCGCTGCTCCTCTGCCGCCCCCTGCCCTCCAACTCCACCCTGAGGCTAAAAATAGCTCGTCCTCTTTCATCACCCAGCCATCACATCAGGCTCACTCTCATTTGCTGCCTACGCCTCTTTTTATGTTGTGATGTTTTCAGAGTGTCAGATGTTCACATGAGCTGTTGTTGTTTGGCATACGGACTTCCATCTGATCTTAAAGTAATGTCGTTTTTATAAATTGTACTTTCTTTGATTTTATTCTGTTGCATTTCTTCTGTTCCTCAACCTTGATTGAGGAAGGAAGTTATTTCGAAACATGACTTCTGGTATTTATGAAATATGAAGTGTGAGGTCTTTGAGGAAACACTCTTTTTTAGAGCTGTGTGTCAGATAGTAGAGTGTGCCTCGTTAAACTGACATTAGTATCTCTGCTGTTTCTCATTCACAGGAAGAAGGAGAGGAAACCATCGCTGGAGATGGACTGCAGGTCGGTGATAACATCTCAAATCTGTGAGTTTGATGAAACAAACCTTCTCTGTCAGCTAAGCAGCAGTTGAGGAAGTATTCAGTTTCTTTTATCTAAAATAAAAGCAACAGTTCTACAATAAAAAAAAATACAGAATTGCCAGTAAAAGTCTGACTGAAGCAAATCAGCAAATATAGTTAAAGTATCAAAGTAAAAGTCTCTTACCATTTTTCTTTTTAATATATCTATTAAAATAGTAACTAGTGAATACAGCTATCAGGTATCAACATAGTGGAGTTTAACAAATGACTAAACTAATTTAACAATATTTGCATCTGGGACCATAACAACACAAAAGTATTTTAAAAATGAATGGATTTTGGTCTGGAATAACTAATAGTATGGTGGCAACATTTAGATCATAAATGATACGTAATTATTATTAATGACTGTTTTTAACACTGTAATTGCCTACTAATTGAACAGTAGTTAAGTACAGTACTTGAGTAAATATACTTCCCAACACTACAGCTGGGATTATTTTCCAGCCATTTAGCCTTGCAACTCGGTGACATTATGATATTAAAATTCTGAACGCTGTTGAGTAAATAAATAAAAATATCCATCAGGGATTTGTGCACATGCTGCAGCAGCCAGCGTGACGTCCTGATGAAATGCTGCCAGGGACAGCAGGAGCCGACGCACGGTAACATCCCAGGCCGGCGTTTGATTCGTGCCGATGAGTAACAGGAGTGTCTGGTGAGCAGAGATGTGTTTGACACGGTCACAAATTAACAGCCGTTATAGTAGCAGATGTTCACATTGTGCAGCGGGACTGTGTGGCGTTGAGGGGTTGATTCTGTTAGCGTGTGTCCTGCTGATGCTCGGATAAAGTGTGTGTGTGTGTGTGTGTGTAGGGCGGAGTACCCGTCAACAAGTCATTTTATTCTGAGGATGTACATCCCTGCAGCTCGATGATAAAACCAGAGGCTGCTGCACAAAGCTCATTCTCATTCTCAGCCTCACTTCCTGTTCGTTGGTATGACAGTAAATGTAATCTCGCTGCAGGTTCACCTTTTGTGATCTGTTGTAGTACATTTCTTCAGATCCATCCTCAGGAGCTAAAAGGCCGCTCAAACTCTCTTCTTCAGATCAGAATCAGAATAAGAACTCATGTATTTATCCCTAGGGGGAAATTGGATTTGGGTTGAACTGTTTCTTCAGTATAAAATTAAACAAATAAATTCAATGAAATAGAAATAGAAAAAATGTATATATTATATATGAATTTTTTTTTCATATATAATAAATTGTATTAAATCAATTATTCATATATCTAACTTGGAGAAAACAAGATATAACAAAAATAAATATGTTGAAGTATGAATTATACAATAAATACAGTAGTGTATTTATATAGAAAATGACATTAGTGTTATTGCGTTACAGTCTGTTGCACAATAATGCCATATGCCAGATTTTTTTAATGAGATGTGGAGCAGCATCAGCGACACAATCCCCTACAGAATCCGTCTGGCTGCAGGTTGGGATATTTTTATCCTGAAACCCACAGAGACACGTCGGCTGGATGTAATTAAAGAGACGTTTATAAAGCGTAGGCTTGTGAGTCACAGAGTTTATCCCACTCGCAGCAGGTGTCATTTGAGGAAAGATCTCCCTCCAGTGTGTGCCCCTGATACATTAACATTACATTTAGACATTTAACCCACTGTAATACTGGGAATTGTCTTTTTTCACTTTCTATTTTTATACACAGGAAACATAAATGAGCTTTAGGGATGCTGGTTGTTCAGATGGAGCTAGGCTAACTGTTTCCATCTGTTTCCACTCTTTATGCTATCTAAGTTAGCCTGATGCTTGCTGTAGCTTTATATTTCTCAATCACAAACAAGGGTAGCATCAATCCTCAAATTGCAAAGCATATTCCGAAACATTTCACCATTTTCTTTTAACTAAAGATCACATTTTTTTATGAAAGGTTTGTTCCAAATGAAAGACATACTCGTATTACAGCCAAACCGTGTTCTTAGTGGTTATTGCCAAAAATGGTGCCTGGTCAGGGGTTTTCTGACTCTCCACTGATTTATCAGCGCTGTGTCAGAAGCAAGGTTGTATTTTCCAAATGAACAGCAAATTGGACATTTTTAAACGTTGTGTTTGGCCCAGTAAAATGTATTTAATGTAGGCAGAGCTGTGTGTTCATGGATTATTTCACCAATCATAATCCAGGACGTAAATGATCTGTTTTCAAATGCAAAAGTTAAACCCATGTGCAAAGTAAAAATAAATCTACAGTATGGTAGGTTTTACATCAATGTGAGCAGTAAAGCTTGACATTTAAATGCAGATAAGCTGCTGCAGTGTCCACATGCAGATTACAGCCTCTGGAGTGACGTCGCAGCTCCAGGCTGAAATAAAGGAGCACAGTTTTGCTCATTCACTGATTTGCCAGTCAAAATCAGAGACCTGTTCGCATCACTCAGCTGGCTCATTCAAATTCTGTGTGTGATGCTGGTGAGAAAAATACCCAGCAGGAGAGGCGGGATGGTCACGACACCGTGCAAATAGATGCATAATCATCAGAGCAGGTGATCTGCCTCTGGCATCACATCCAAATGATTCATGCACATGAGCTTTACCAAACCTCTTTCATCTCCAAGCCTACATGCGACTACATGCCAGAGCTATAGGATTCAATGAAGGCGTTGAGGACTTGTGTGGAGGTGTCAAAAGGCGCTTTATGGTTTGTGCATCTCAGTGAGAATAATAAAGTATTTATCATTTATATGCAATATGAAAGAGTAGCTTCCTGTAGACATATGAGACAAGCACTGCAATAAATAGTTGATAATCTTCATTATTTATATCATTTTTCCGAGAGCAATAATGCATATCTTACAAAAAAGACATTAGCAAACAACATTTTTTTATTTTTTTATTGAATTTAGTAGACAAATCAATTAAGAGATCACTCGAGAAATGAATCAGACGATGAATCAAAGTACTGACACTTATTAGTCATTTTTAAAGCACAAACGATGAATTTCCTCTTGTTCCAGCTTGACATTTGAGAACGTTAAATCTGACTTGTCTTTACTTTCATTATGCACATGTGTTGCAGACTTTAATTAGCTAAAGTCTAGATGTAAGCAGAAATAATTAGAGTGAATATTGCTTTTTATTAAATATGGGTAAATAAATAATAATAAAAGAATGTACCTTATCAACACAGGAAATATACTGATTAATTAAGTAAAAGGTAAATAAATAAAACTTACTAGGAATAAACCAAACAACTCTTCATATAAAATAATGTAGTTTTTGAGCTTGTAGTTTGAATTTGATTAATATAGCACCTGTTCAAACAAAGTTACATATTGCTTAACTGATAGAAATGTACCATATACCATATACAAATATTTAAAACACGCCTAAAAGGGGAAAGAACTTCAGTAGCGGAGTCTGGATATAAGTTAAATTCTATCCAAAACATTTGTATTTGTGGAAGAAGAAGATGTTGCTGTGTGTTTGTGAAGTGTACCCATTAAGAGAATGAAATACACCCAGGGAGTTAGTGACACTCAGATGCCTGTACATCTGTCCAAAAACAAGTGGAGAATTGATTCTGGACTCGTCGTTAGAGAGGGATGGTCACACAAAAAAAAAAAAGGCAATCAATCTGGTGGGCTGCAACGCCGACTTCCTGCATCACAACACTGTCAACCAATCGGGCTTCAGCCTCATGCGTCTCCATGGTAACAGGGCTTCCTCAGTTCCTAGGAGGTGGAGACGGCAAGGGAGGGAAAACAGAACAGAGGTGGATGGGGGAAGAAGGAGAGGGAGAAGAAGAAGAATCGATACCTTCTCTTATTTCCCAGTGAGGATTTAAGAAGCTCCTTCCTGAATACCGGGGCTGGGGGGGGCGAGGCTGCAGTGGATTGGTTGACAGTGTTCGGCAGAAAGAGAGGGGATCGGGGAAGGGGGGAAGATGCCCGGGCTGCTGGTCTCTGTGGGACCATGCAGATCTGCCCCTAAAGACTCTGCTCAGAGGATCAGTGTTTGCTCCTGCGAGGTAAACTGATTTATTATATTTAAATACCTGTCTTTGCAGCTGTTGCTATAAAGACAGGTACATGATGGCAACATGGATGCCTGCCTGTTGGACTCCAGTCCAGACTGATGTATTTGTAAAGAGGAGCAGGCTGAGGAGCTGCAGGTGGCTGCAGTTCGAGAGGGGTTCTACAGGTGGCTTTGTTCATTTTACTGCGAGAAAGACATTTGAATGAGATGAGTAATGTTTGAAATGTGTTTGTAAGGAGCAGAGGAGTGTTGTTGCAGCGAGGCTTCATGTCTTGCTGCAACACATGTTTGATGGTAGTGTAGTGATGTGCAGGGAGTTAGTGTACGCTGATGGGAGGAAACGTAATCAATCAGTATCAGCACCACAGAAAAGACACTAAATTACAACATTTGACTGTAATATTTTAAAGTGTAGTTTGGCCACAGCTGCTGATGATCACTTTTGCTTTGCAGCTAATTTGAATGAGATTTGAAGTACGCAGCGAGAGCGTACCGCACAGTACTCGACTCCTCCAGAGATCACACTCGGTGTGTTTGTCTTCCTCGGCCTGCTCGTGTGCGTGGCAGGCGTCATCTGATTTATTCTGCAAGACAGCATGTTTCTTCAGATGTGAAGAATGCTGTGGTGTGTTTTGAATCCATGCTGTTATCAAAAGCAGAGACAAATTCCATCAGGGGATCTTGTTAGTGCAGCAGGACTCCTGTAGCGCTTCAAATCGCTGGAGAAGAATCGACTCAGATGCATCAAACTGTGATGATGTGTAACAAAGACATGGTGCGTTGGCTTCTTGCTCTTAAATGTAATGCATGTTAGATTACACATTTTATATGTATACAGTAATCGTTATCGTCTTTGTCCCATTTGTCCGTGAGATTATGATAATTCATTGGGTGTGCATTCTGTAAATATGTTCTGAGGAATTTTAAGTAGCTCTGATTTTCATTAAACATGACTTATAAAAGAAAGGCTCACAAAACATCCCCCACAGACGGGTCTTCACACATTGGGTGATGCTCATGCCCGAGTAGAAAACAGAATTAGATCTTTTGTTAAAATACTTTTGGAAGAATGACCCCACACAAATTCACCTCTCAGAAGTTATTTATTTAGTATCAAACCAGTTAGTTTTTTAATTATAATCTGTGTTATCTCTTTACTCTGTGTCTATGTTATACCATCTTTTAGCTCATTGTTTTGTTTCAAAGGGCACGTGCTATACTTATTTTCAGGTTCATAATTGCAACATTTTAACATGATTTAATGTTCTAAAGCACATTTCAATTTTTCTACTACAGTGTGTCTGAATATACAGCCTCTCTCTGAAGCCCAGTGTGCTCTGATTTGCTCACCAGAAAAATATGTTACACCTGTGCAAATGTAGTTATCAACACATGGATGGAGATACTCATATTCGAATGAGACTCTCTGAGAATGTGACATAGAAATAAGAGCCAATCAGATAAAGGCAGCTCAGATATAATCTGACTGGGTCTGATGTGGGTTAGTAAACGTGCCAGAAACACAAATGTACATGTACCGGAACTGAGTCATTTATGAAACATCCTCTTCAAGACCCACAACGGTGTGGTTTTGTTTCACTCTCTTGGTTGTTGTTTCCAGGAACAGCGATGAAAAGTCTGATGAATGTCTAGGCTACTATTTCAAATTCAAATAAGTTTCACTGCCCCCAAGTGGCCAAAACTTCTCTTATTGCTGCTTTAAAGGAGAGTGTTGACCTGCCACCTCCACTGTTGTTTGGCCAGTAAATCAGTAATTCTCAATCACACATTGCCAAGGGGTCAATGACAAATATTTTTCAATTAATAACATTGACATTTCTAATCTAAAATAGTTTCCAATCGAAAAAGAGTTACATCTTTTGCATTTCTGCAGAATACAAATGATTTTAGGGTGAGGTTAGCTGCAGAGCGGCTGGCAAAGGGCTGAGAGGTGTGTACATATCCAGCTGCAGAAATAGTATGTCAGCCTATTGCTTTTTTACGTAGAAACATCCACAGTCTGTGTGTGCGGTCAGACACAGGGTTTCAGTTTAATGGGAATGGGTGGACAGTAGGTCGGGGTGCATTTTTCCGGGATCCAGGGTGTCAGCCTCCAGGACCAGGCTCCTGGCAGGCGGTGTTGTGTTTAATGGACCAGAGCTGTTTCCTTCCAAGTCGGTTACCTCGGTGGCAAATTCTGTGCAATTTATCTGAAGGTTTCCTCAGCCTGCCGTCACACAGGCTGTGATGGAGGGCAGCTGGTAGCCTGGCTCCCTCTCAGTGCTGCAGATGAGACGTTTACTTGCTCTGCGGAGTGTCACTGACTGTGATTTTCGACTGTGAGCTCAATTAGGAGGCCTTCAGATTAAACTGGGAGACTGCAGGATTGTTTGAAATGTCCCAGCGGCTGCATGAAGACAATCTTCAGTTTGATTTTTATTGAAAATGTTTTCACAAAATCGCTGCAATTTGAGCCACCCTGCAGTGCTCGCAGTGTTCTATAAAGGACAACCTTCCTTTATGATTGGCTTCAGGTTTGATTCCCTAATGCCTTAAAAAAAGGGAAAACTTCATCAGTTAAATGGATTAGAGTGGATTGAGGGACACAGGGAAGGAGGAGAGCTCATTTGCTACATGCTGTGGTTGGGTTGTTTTGTTGGAAATTGCCCATAAGCCCGAGGGAACTTTGTTTATGTCTGAAGCAGCGGTGGTCATTCCCAAAGTAATGAGAGGGAGTGGAGCCAAATTCAGAAACAGTTATTGAGTGAGATGAAAAGCATTACATGACATGTTGATAAATGACTTCCCGTTATTGAAATAAAATGAATTGAAGATTGGCTGCCAAGTCAGATCGGAAGACATTTTAATGTTTTCTTTCAGGGTTAAGTGCTTATCTTTTTACAGTGAGGGCTGCAGTAAGTGTACTGTGGCTTATGATGTACTGAACTAAACACAAACAAATCTTACAGACACACTGGATAGCACTCATACTGTGCTACTATAATCAATATTTGTTATGTTTCTGTCTCAGGTTATTTATTCATTTTGCATTAGACAGAGCAGACAGAAGTCTTATACACGCTTTATAGAAATAACTTGAGTAGCATTAATGTGAACCCTGCAGTAAAGTAAATGTTAATAGAGCTGATGGTTGATAATGTTTTGTCTATTGTGTCATCGTGAATTTAATTGAAAGAGAGACCCTCACTGAAGCGCCCTACACTTAAAAAGAAATGGCAAAATAAAGAAAGTTAAAGAGTTTTTTATTGATTTTTATTATATGTATGTATAATTGTTCTTCTTCTTATTTTTTGTATTATTATTTGTATTTTATTGTTATATATTTCAATTATTATCTATAGATATCCCAATAATACTGTTATAATTCCAAAAAAGAGAAACGATGCACATACAGAAAGTCAAAGATATTACTGATTACATTATTACTTTTATTATTATCTTATTACTTTGTATTTATAGTTGTTATTATAATCTATAGATATCCCAATGTTATTGTGAATTAATTCTACAAAGAAAATCGTGTTTTTAAATCTGATGTCGTGGCATTCCTATTGTCAGTATAGTATATATATTTAAAGCAGAGACATTTTTTAGATATTTTGTTTCTATTAATGAGCTCGACATCCTCCTGACATGACATCATAACATCGTCGTCCTCTTGAGCTTAGTTTTCAGTTTATGTTCATGTTTCAGAGATTGCCGGCTGCTGTATCTGATGTGCTGACTCACAGCTCGTTTAGCTGATGGAGGCAAAAGAAAAAGAAAAAAAAAAGCCAAGATGCTCGGTCTATCTGTCGATGTGTCAGTTTTCATCTGTCTCACATTCTGCTTCATGGGGATTACTGTGTCTCTATATATAGCACTTCTTCTGTTGCTCAAGGACTCCTTCACGGGATTCAGTGAGAAATGCCACTTCATTTCCCTGCTGTAATTGTATCACAGTAAATAAGGTCGTACGTGGCGGCCTCTGGAGAGCTGCTGGGATTTGAATCTTCAGTCATTGTTCAGGCAGAGCGCTGCAGTTTTATTACCTGTAGATATTGTTTGTAATACACTTTGCATTGTGGGAATTACAGAGCCTGACTGTGTTTTGGAGGACTCAAAGATTATACTTCTTGTTTCTTGACACTGGTTTGAACCCAAGGCTAAATTTACTTTTCAATTACACTATTTTGAACTATAGCGCGTAACATGCAGACCTTCGGTAACCAATGATGCATTCAGGGGCTCCTTGAATATTCCCATTACCCGAAATAGGACGTTGTTCTTGTTTATGAACAAAGACAATCTCTTTGATTTTATTAGTCAGAGCATTTTAACAACACAATGTTAGCTTTTTTCTCCACAAATGTTCCCTTACAGCTGGAAAACATTTTTTTCAGATATGTCTAATGTCTTTTTTTAAAATTGTTAACCAAAGTGAAACATAAGTGAGTGGTGTTTTCACCATGTCATTTGTATCCTCTTGAAAATGTATTAGGTTTAAGCTTGGCCCATGTTACACCCTCACACCAAGATTCCAAAACATTAGAGGTAATTATTTCTGTAATAGTGCAAACAAACCATTAAACAAACAAATCAAGCGAATAAGAATACCATTCTTGGCAAAGGTGAATACACTTTTGAGATATTTAACATGTTGAAACACTAATATTCATACAATTAAACAATATAGAATGGCTCCTAACCTTTTCCCAAATCATTAAAGAGGCTACTTTCACTGTCATACTGTACTACCTGACCTCTGCAGTTCATCTGAGCAGCCTGACCAAACATGCATAACCTGATGATGCACAGATGGACAGACGGTGGGACACCGCCACACACACACACACACACACACACACACACACACACACACACACACACACACACACACACACACACTCAGCTCCACCTCCTCTCTCATGTTAACAGCATCAGAGTTACCGTCCTTAATCTGTCTGAGATTAGGTAGCCATCGTCATGTGACTGAATTCATCCCTGTCTGCTTGCTGTTGCATTATGTTAACAGCAACAGTATTTATTTTTCTCACCTTGTTTAGAAGAAAAATTTGAAGTGGCTTTAATATTTCTGTGAAAGTTGTGTGTCATAGTGAGGAACCTACAAACCTAGAGAGGATTATCAGCTGTATCTGCAGCTTTACGGAGCTTTAAAGTGAGTTTCAGATCATTGTTTATCTGTCGTCCTACAACTTCTGGCTCACTCTCACTGCTCTTATTGCATCATTTTAGAGAAAACACCTTAAAAAAGATCACTACCAGTTTAACAGAACAGCAGAAAGACAAAGTTACAGACTATCTGGTGAACGTAGTTGAGCATTTTTGTGGTAAAGATATTTCTCTAAGGAGTCAAAGATAAAAAAAAAACGGAGCTATATTAAGAGTGAATATTGGAAACAAACCTCCAAATGCGTCATCATGTTGCTCTGTAACTGCTTAATGTGCACAACAATGTCGCCATGTACATTTGAAAGTTCATGATTGTTGCGTTCACATCTTGTTTCTGCTGCCTCCAAATGGTCAAAAACAACAAGCAGCAATGACACCATTTACAACTCTAGTAAGTAGTGGGAGTAGAAAGAAACAGGAAATGAAAGTATGAATACCTTGATTAAAATGCTGCATTGACCACATCTTGGCTGAGTCTTCACTGTGTTTACACGGAGTTGGGATTTAGGTTGCGGGGGGATTTCAGAGATGTTGCTAGGTCAGTGGATTACCTTGTAATAGATCTGGAGGAAGGCTGGAGGACTCACAGAGGAGCGGGTTGGCTTGTGTTGGGGGGTTTAATCCTTGAGACAAGCATGCTAACTCTGGTTTGTAAGTCATGCTGGGAGCTCAAACCTACATATTGTTAAACCTCATCTTATCCCACTGAAAGTCTGTTTTTGCTTCTTGTCTCTCAGGTGTCAATAACGATGACTCCCGTCCTCGCTGTTTGAACATGCTGCTCGGGTAGCGAAGCCGAAAGAGAGGAGCGTCTAGCCTTCACTTCTCTGGACACACACACCCTCACACACACCAGGAGTTGGCCAAATTCAAGCTCAACCATGCTGATTAAGGAGTATCGCATCCCCATGCCGATGAGCGTGGAGGAGTACCGCATCGCGCAGCTCTACATGATCCAGGTGAGCAGTTTTCCATGTAAATCACACACTACAATGGGAACAAAATGTCTTTCTATTAGCTTAAATTAAAGGCTTTAATGAGGTGTTGTTAGTGAAGTCCAAGAAGGCTGGAGACCTGGAGTATTTTCTCTGGAGGTCAGGAGTTTGAAGTGTGGTGCTGTACCTGAACTAGAGCGGTGAGCAGCGTGGTCACAGGGTCACAGATGGTGCTCCATATGCCTGATTCATTTAATAGTGTTGTGCATATATACACATATATAGTCACATAGAAAATGCACTAAAAGATTATTTTATTTTGCAAATAAATGCTGGTAACCATTAGTCAAATATGTTTATTAGGCAATCATCAAGGGAAAGCCTTTAGGTTTAGAGTATTTTTCATAAAACTGCTGATAATTGAAAGAGTATATATAATAGAATTAAGTTTGTTATTATGTGCATATTATTATATAAACTGAAGATTGAAACGTTATGATAATCCAGTTTGTTGTTAGTGGAAATGATTAATTTGATGTTTGGCTTAATTTTAAAAGAAAAAACTAGGACTACGCAGTAAGTAAGATAACCCATAATGCTCATGGAACCAACAAAAACATTTATAAGAACATAAACAAAAAAGACCCGCATAACACCATAAAAGAGAAAAGACAGGGTGAATAAATCCAAATACTCATAATATGTTTGATGGGAGAGAGAAGTGCCATTTTCATTTGTGGACTAAAATGTGAAAAGACATGAAGGGGGTAAAATACCTTCAAATCATAAATGATTTTGTTTATTTACACTTCGTTTGGATGTTGTTTGGAATCGGTATATTGAGGGCAATCTGAGAGCGCAGACATGCAGCAAGGCCCTGCTGTACCTCACAAGGTGATTTGTTTCTTCGGCCATGATTCAGATCCGCTCTGATTACATTTAATGGCTTCTTCACTGGCCCATGCACGCCCTTCCACCTAATTTCATTAAACTAGGGCAAGTAGTTTTCCTGTAATCCTGCTGACGGACAATCTGAACGACTTGTTTGAGGAGATAATGATATTATATAATTTGTGTGTAAAAGTGATCATATTTTTCAAGAGTATATATTTTTAATCCGTAATGCAGATTTATAATCCGTACAAAATATACCTGTATACAACTCTTTAATGAAAAGAAAACTGGAAAAAACATCGGAAGGAGCAAAGAAGAGCGAACCTTCCGAAAAAAAATCTTAAACAAACCTCCTGAATATTAGCTTTGATGATGCACACGCACACACACACACACGCACATACGCACACATGCACACACACACACACACACACACACACACACACACACACACACACACACACACACCACCACCTGCTCCTTCTCAGCGTCATAGCTAAGTGCCGGTTGCTGTGGTAACTGGTGACATCAGCTGCAGCATGGCAGCCGCTGCCATCATTTGTTTGTGATCTGGGCGGAAAGAAAGAAAGAGAGCGAGAGAGGAGATGTGATGGCGCAGTCAGCGTTACCATTGACGACATTATGTCTGGCTCCATATTACTGGATACACTGTTTACAAGATGTATGCATCACTCATGTACCCAATGTAAACACCCTTGTGTTAAATACGATTATTTTAAATACATCTGTAGTTTGCAAACTTTGACATGTGTGATCCAAAATAAACCAAACAACAGATCAGAAACACATCAGTGAGCCACACTCTGACGCACCATGAACACACACACTGTAGTTTATTTTGACTCAATCTCACAAACTGCTGCTCCAAATACTCACTAGAGCAGAAAATATGGATTACGCTGGCAATGAAAATAGAACCAAAGAAATCCATTTGGATTTTAGTTTGAGTGACCTTTGATTAAAAAAACGTCAGGCGAAGTGCTCAGATGTTTGAGTGGCGAAAAGAGAAAATGGAAAATGTAGGACAAACAACAAAATACAAATCAACATATATTTGTTAAGTTATGGTATTAAAGATGAAAACATTCAATTAATATATCATTTTGACTCCATGGACAGAAACAGAAAATTCACCTCGTTGATCATCGTAAAACCCACTTTATCAAACATAATGTTAAAAACTCAATAAAACTCATGAAAGCCGCCTTGGTTAGTCTTTCTACTGTTTCAGCAATCACTAACGTTAGTCTGCTCGAAATAAACCCTTAATTCATGAAATGAGATGTTACAATATGTCGGCTTTACACGCTGAGTTGCTCTTGTCCTTTGGAGGGATGACATTAAGTTAGCATATCCAATGTTAATTAATAAATAAAGATCACACCTATTTTTCACTTGCATGATCGACCAATTGAGCAAGGCATTCCTCCTGTCCGAACACAAATCATTTGCCTCGGGCGAGCATTAATGCCAAGCCCTGATACATTGCTTTTTGTTTGGAAACTGAAGAGTTATCCATGCTCTCTTAAAAGCATGAAAACCTCCTATGATAAAACAGTAAACAGAACACGGGAGCTGCTGGTCTAACGCGTCCCTGATCAGTTATTTTGCTGTCTAAAAATGAACTAGAACTCATGTACTGGGACTACTAGTGGGCCTGAGGGGGGGGGCTGTGTATTCCTGCTCTATGCTAACCTTGCGGGGTCTCATTAATGATTCAGGGCACCTCAGGCCAACAGACCCAGACCCTCAGCAGAGACCCTTTCTCATTCTGCTGAGAGCTGGTTGCACTTCTCACATTGTGCATGGGATCTGTGTTCTTTCACTTCTCCTTCTCCTTCTTCCTTTCCTGTCAGCTATTTTTTTCCAGCACACTTGAGTTTTTTCCTATTTCTTTATCTTGAACAGTTTCTGGATAAATGTTACGCTTTTCTGACTCATCTTTCCTCATGTGGGTTTTTGGCAGTCATGTTCTTTATTTTATTCAAGGATTTTAAAATGTAGGAACTTTTTGGTTCTGTAATTCTCCAAAAAGTTTCATGGTACTAATTTACATAAATGAGAGGAAACATATTATAAGGAGTTCTAAGGAACAGCTCCATTCAAATTGTTAGTGATAGCTTATTGTATTGTTATTATGTATTATACATTTGGCTTCTGACACATTTGACATGTTTGCTTTTTTATCTGAAAAGCTGTGCATTAACTTAAAGACTCTTTAAAATACAAAAAACAATGAATTTGTATTTTTTAATTCTTATTGAATATTCCCTTTTTACAAATACTTCGACTTAAATGACATAGTTCTTTGCAGGAATAGTTTATTCAAAGATTATTCTGCAAAACACAGACCTGTGAAGTGTGACACCACGTGTTACTTGTGTAGTCTTTTCCCACACATTAATACAAACAGCTGCAGTTCCTCTTATAATCTGAGACTGGAGAATATGAGAATTGTAGATGTGAGACCGGTTTAACATACTTAAGAAAAGTTGTTGGAGACTTGTAAAGAATTTGTGTGGAACTTACGTCATCAATGTTTTACTCTTCGCACATTGATCCAACTTTCTGCAGCTTATTCTTAACAGTGATCGGAAACTCTCTTTATCAGTTTTTGATCTCCATGAATTTCAGTACAGTAAAGACTTTATTCATATACTGCCCTTTTATAAAGCCCGACCTGCAGGGCACATGTTTTATATATCTATCAAGTGGACTGAGCTTTCCTCTAGCTCCACCACAGGGTCGATATTTATGTTTTATATGAAATTGATTCACCAACTATTGGATGGATTGCTGTGAAGTTGTTTGCTGGCGCTCATGTCATGGGGCACTTTGATTCATTTGTGAGTGTGTTTGCAGGCTGCTATTAGCATTAGCTGCTCTGCTAATGTTAGGACTGAACGATATGAGGAAAATATGCAATAATGTTGTTGAATATCGCAAAAACAACATTACTTCTGAGGTATACAAATATATGAAAGTGTACTCAGTTATGCCTTATTGCTGTTTTTGCTATTCTACTCGGATACAACACATATTTAAATTATTGAAAGAAACTTGGACATTAAACGTAATTCAAAGGCACCAAAAAACAATGATACAGTAGGTACATTTTGAAGTGCCGTTTTCAACAAATACTCTCTTTCAACTAACAAAAGTGTAATATATCAGTCTTTTGTGAAGTGTGATTGCACATGCCCCCACTGTGAGGATATCAAAACAATGAATTGGGGATCCCTAGGTTAAGAGTTTGGCTAGCAGAGCTGCTGCTGTGCATTCTTGTGCTTGTTGGCTCCTGTCATGTCTCATCAATTAGGTGTGTGTGTTTGACCGATTCTGATGACAGCCAAACACCAGAAAACAAACACCTCAGCAGCAGACGCAGCATCTTTAGATTAAGAAGCGTTTCCACTATTGTTGACAGTTTTCTTTTTAGTGAAGCCGCGCAGAGGGAATTGAAGGTTATATTGCCAAGAAGTGGACATGTTCAAACTGCTGACTGCATCTTTAGATCCTGTCTTGGTTGTCTTAGACTGATGTTGTGCAAGATAATAACCTTCATTTTCTACACACACCTGTTGCATCTGCTGTTGTTCTTAAAGACCTTCTTGAAACCCCTGGGAAACCCTGTATAGTTAGTTGTGTTGCAGCGAGGTGTGTGTCATTAATACAGATACTATGTGCTCTCCTGTACTGCAGCAGACATGAGGAGGGTAATTTAAGACCCTTAGCTCCTCACATAAATTACATTACCTGCCAGATTACAGCAATTTTCCAGCTGTTTGCCTCCTCTGACCTTCATTACTGATACCACCTCCCTAAAGTCTTCAGCAGAGGGAGCTCCGTGTTCAATCTGAGCTCTCATTGTTGACCCCCAGCACCCCACTCTGCTTTTAATAATGATCGGGAGGATTTGTATTCACGTAGAGCCGTCCCTCGTACCAAAGCGTATTACAACGGAAGGAATAAAATAGCTTTTCAATCATCAGTGTGACACCAGAATACGGAGCTACTGTACTGTCACCTGACTCAGCAGTGACATTAAGATTGAAATACTTTATTTTTAAATACATTGCATTAGGTCCCTTTTATTTTTAACAAATTTGAGCAACATTTTGTATCAAAAGTGGGTTTTTTCATGGTTGTGTGGAACATATAGTAAATACAGATTCTTTAACGGTTTTATAAAGTACAAATTAAGTTTACATCTCTTTTACAATAGTAATTTGGGCATAATCTGGGCGACACATTCATTCACACATACTTAAAATGATATACAAAACAATGTATATAAAAGGTACAAAGGAAAACTAATGTTCACGCACAGAATCTGTAAATATGCATGGATAAAATCAATCAATCAATAATTGTATTTGTCCTCACAGGGGCAATTAGTCGGGCTTAGTGGGATGCACACAGTTAGCTGACATTAAACACAGGGCAAAAGTATAAATACTCAGTCAATTCAACATATTTTAGAAACAATAAATTGAGCCATTATGAAAATAACTCCCTCTTCCTCCTAGAGAGACTGCAGAGGGTATAAAGAATAGTTTCATTGTATTGTTCTTAGCTCGTGTAAGTCCAAGAATGGGAACACAAGATGGGATGAAGCTACAGTATGTATCGGTAACTTATTGAGTTCATTTCTATGTTTGACCCCATGAGATTGCAGCAGCAGATAAAAGAAAAAGTGAGATTTAATAAAATAACAAAAAATGCAGCTAGTGTGTCAACATACTTTATTCTTGGGGCTAAACCTGCTTTTTTAAGGTATTCATTTCTCAAAGAAATATCAGGGAATTGGCTATGAATTGTCCAAAAACTAAATTAAAGTAGTATTCCCATTGTAACATATTTATTATTTCAGTGTTTTATAATATATGAAAAGCATAACATTTTGCCCAATTTATTTAAAGGTGGGGAAGGTAATTTTGGAGAAACCAGCTGGAGTGCGCTAGAATTTGAAAATACACAACCGGAACAAATCTGCCACTTCCTTACAGAGCCCCTCCTCCAACACACACGAACGCGCACATGACCAATGAGGGCACGAGATAAGTTTGTGCACAGATGGAAGGCTGACAGGCAGGTAGGCCATCCAGTTATTTTAGCCGGGCCGGCTAANTCTCTCTCTCTCTCTCTCTCTCTCTCTCCCTCTCTCTCGCTCAATTCTAAAACATATTTTCCTTTTCTCTAAAGTTTGTTCGATTGTATTGCCTCTTTTATTGTTTCTATTCTTTTTAAGTTACATTTTGTTGAATACCTGTTTGCATTTTGTCCGGGTGCAGAGTGGAGGGGCAACTTGAGCTGAGGAGGAAAGGAAAAGGGTGTGGCTGAATTCGAATGTAAAGCAGTCTCTTGTTTTCCATGTGGCAGCTTTTTTCTCTCCGGCTCCTCACTCAGTTCCTGCTGCATCATCCCTTTGGGGGGGGGGGTCACAGTCGGACAGAAACCCTCAGTGAGAGACAGGAGCGCTGTGTGAGGGTCTCACGGGCTTCATCTAGGAATAAAGGGAGTTCGGCAGCATGTGGGGAGAGAGCAAGTCTGGATGCTATGCTAACATTGGCGCACCGTTGCTGTTTCAGAGTCTCCCTCTGAAAGATACTTTTTGAAGTCAATGCCTCACTGAGCCCAGCTGCTGTCACTGAGCTGACATTGATTTTTATTTCTAGTTCATATTTTCCAGTACAGAATTATATAAAAAAGGAACAAAAGAGTTAATCTTTGCGCATAAACAAAAAGTACAACTTTAGAAGTCCCACTCAATAAACACAGTGGCTGATTTGAGGTCCTTCTTGTTTACAGCATTAATTCAAAGTTAAATAATGTTAATAATGCAGTGTATTTCTATTTGATTTCTTCCACTTCCACTATTGAAAAACACACAAAAAAAGACAATAACAAATAAGATTTATTTTAATTATTCAATTATTATTATTCAACTTTTTTCTCTTGGGATCTTGAATTCATTATTATCTCGATAAAATGTTGTGTTGACAAGAAGCTGATCCTGTTTGTGATCCGAAAAAAAAAAAATTAGATTCTTATCCTGGGAAAATGGAGGAACCACAGTTAAGGGTATTATATATAACTCCAGAGTTAGCTAAGGTTGAACCTATGATATGACTTCTGAAACCCAACATCTGCACATGAAATAAAGTAATAAAATGCAATACTGTTTAATACTTTTTATATGGTTGATGAATCTCAGCAGCTCCCACAAACCCCCCCCCCNCCCCCTCCTCCCCTCCTCACCACTTCCTGTTTTGTGTCCCCCTGCAGAAGAAGAGCCGAGAGGAGAGCTGTGGGGAGGGCAGCGGCGTGGAGATCCTGGAGAACAAACCCTACGAGGACGGGCCCGGGGGCTCGGGGCAGTACACTCACAAAGTGTACCACATCGGGAAGCACATCCCGTCCTGGTTCTGTGCCATCCTGCCTCAGGCGGCGCTCCGAGTGGAGGAGGAGTCCTGGAACGCCTACCCATACACCCGCACCCGGTGAGAAACACACCACAGCAGGGAAATACCCAGAGGAGGAGAGTAGCTCAGTACATTTACTCAAGTACAGCACCTATGTTTACTACTTACTAAGTTAACTGATTTCTTGTTAAGTACTTCTATTCTATGCTACTTTATACTTCTACTACATTTTGAAAGCCAATATTGTACTTTTTGCTGGATTATATTCAGCTGTTTTTGTTTGCATTTTAAGAAATAATATTGTGGCAGGGCAAACAACATACAACCGAATATATACATTATAACAGTAATCATACTCTTTGTTTTGAACAGCATAAATAAGATCAGCTGAAACTGATGAAATTAAATAAAATCAATAAATCGGAAGAAATAAAGGTGAAAAAATGTATAAACATCATTTATATGATATTATTAACGGATAATGGTTACCCAGATTGAGATTATTAATAAGAAATATAATGTACTATTAATGTTTTATATATTTTTAGGTTTCCAAGGAGTATATTATTTGATTAAAATACAACCTACCTTCACTAATGCAACATGTAGGTGATCACACACTATCAATACTGTCATAACAGCTTATGTTATAGGCCCTTAAGTAATAAGTACTTTTAATATACTTTAAGTCTATTTTAATGCTAATACTTCCGGTACTTTAACTTCAGAAATAGTTTGAATGCAGTTGTTTCAGAAGATGTGGTATTGCCACATTTTCTGATGTAAAAGTACCTCTGAAAATGACTCATCACATTACAAATGATGAATGCTTAATTTGGACATGAAGATTTTACAAAAGTGCTCTGACTCTAGAATCCTCCTGTGCTAAAACATTTGTTAACAATGAAGCATTCATCACATAAAGGGAATTTAAGGACAGCTTGTATTATTTAAAGCACAATGACTGAACCCTTAAGTAATAAAACGTTAATGATTTTGCATTTAATTACTTCTTGATTCATACATTTGCACCAGTAAACTTGCTATTGTTGACGAAGAACAATTTGAGCTGAATAATGATCAGTTATATCCTCCAGGTGACTCAATATGTACAGTAATAATAGAGAACATTGTCACAGTGATAGAGGAAGGGGCTTCGGGGACACAAATCCCAATACATGTTGTAGGAGCCATTTAGGGGTGTTTCCAATAACATTTTATTAGTATTTTTGGTGAGAAGTGAAATCTAAATATCACTTTCCGTCCATCAATGACTATATTTAACTAAATTAAATACAAGAATAACAACTTTATTTATATTGTTATTATTATTGTATTTACTTTGGTTTCATATAATGAATAATTATCAATCATTTTAATAATCCAAATGAAATACAAGTAAATGACATGACACATTTAAATTTCCATTTTTGCCAATTAAAAAATGACAATCAAATAAAAGAGTAAATCAAAAAATATAAGCGTAAACACATGGAAATGTGTTAAGTTTAGTTTTTTGACAATATATTAATCCGTTTTTTACAAACAAAAAGCACACCATGAATTCATTATGGAATCCATGGAGATAAAAAAAAGGTACAAAAGACAACAAACATTACAACAAACAAAATAAGTGGTATAATAATACATTGCTAATGTGCAAAATAATAAAGATAAAAGCCTCTTATTTATAATAAAATATACATGAAAGATATTCTAGTGCAATAAATCCAACAGCTCACTCTGCCAGGCTTTCATGAATCCACTTCAGTAACATGTTCTTCCCTGCAGCATAAGTAAGAATAAAGGAACATCTCTTCACGTTTTTTGAGTTATAAATCTGCCCAGGAGGCCCAGGATAAAGGACACTGGGTCCACATCTGATATCTTTTTTTTTTTGTATTATCACAATGCGCCAGAAGCTTTGTAGCATTTACAGCAAAGACCGTTTCATACAGTCAGAGTACAAGGCTGACAGAGAAGTGCTGAAATAATGTCTAGAGTTGCGGAAGATATGGGCATAAGGCTGCTTGTTAACTAGCATACATATCTCACACACACACACAAACACACAAACACACACACACACACACACACACACACACACACACACACACACACACATTCAGTCCACATGCATAGGCGTTGGTTCTTTACATTATCAATAGGTGTGCATAAAAACATTATGTGGGCAACAAACATGAAATGAAAAAATCCGAAGTTTAAAAAAGTGACACAAATAAATTAATAAAATAACCTAACCCTATTAATGATAACATAAACATTTTTAAAAAAGCGTTTATAAGACTTGTCTACACTTTTAAACAACTATTCTCTCTCTTGTCTCTCAGGTACACCTGTCCCTTTGTAGAGAAGTTCTCTATAGACATTGAGACGTATTACAAACCAGACACTGGAAATCAGGTGGATGTCTTCAATATGTCTTCTGCTGAAAAGAGACAGAGGACTGTCGGTGAGTATTTCATGCACACAAGAACACACCCTCTGCCATGAAAACTCCCAGAGTGGAGTTCTGTGAATGCAGGATCAGATCTACACAGTGTTATGTTCAGGGAAAATGCAGACAGTGTGATGTGGAGGGATAAGACTGAGGGAGTGTAGCAGCTCGTGTTGAGCCCCTGAATACTAAAATTCACCGTGGTGCAGGAAAATGTGCAGACAAATGCCCTGCAGGGAGTTATTACATAAAACATTCTCACACACACACACACTGCATAGACAGATTTTCACTCAGGGCGTCGTGAAATGTGTTTGATTTGATTTGCGTGATTAATAATAACTTTGTCCCCCTTGCAGACCCCATAGACATCGTAAAGGACTACATCCCCCCACATGAATACCTGGTGGAAGAAGACCCTAAGCTGTATCAGTCGGTGAAAACCAAACGGGGTCCGCTGTCAGACGACTGGATCGAGGAGATCAACCAGAACCTCGGTGAATGTCCCGTCATGTGTGCCTACAAACTCTGCAAAGTGGAGTTCAGATACTGGGGCATGCAGTCCAAGATTGAACGCTTCATACACGACGTGGGTAGGTATGGTGTGTGTGTGTGTGTGTGTGTGTGTGTGTGTGTGTGTGTGTGTGTGTGTGTGTGTGTGTGTGTGTGTGTGTGTGTGTCAGTCAATGCATCATCCTAAAAAATAACCTTGGATAGCCATAAAACTCATGAATCACCGTGACACGTTGGATTTCTGATATGTCGGAGAACCCCCTGGAAAAAGTTTATTTAACCATGATAAATCAGGACACCTGTAAAAAATAAAGGATAATCATTAAAAGACTGAAAGAAGAAAAACTGGGCATAAATAAAAACATAACCATGAACCATTTTGAATAACCCTGAGAGTCAATGATAACCTTAAATTATTAATAATGCATAAAAATCAGAAAAGAGCTAGAGTTGTACATATATGTACGTCCACACGGTTCCGTCGCGTTGAAGCTTGCTGATGGGCGTGTCTGGCGCAGGACCAACAACCAATCACATTAATCTCCACCTCGGACACACAAGCAAGCGGTTTGATTGGCTCGCGCTTGTACTGGCATATGATTTGGTTGGCTGGCGCTTCTGTTGACGCTTGAAAATGTGAACTTTTCTCAACTTTCGAGGCGAGCAACGGAGGCAAAGCGACGCAACGGAACCACAACGCAGCTCGGCAAAGCTTGACGTCACCCCATTCAAAGTGAATGGGAAGCGTCTCCGTTGAAGCACGCAACGGAACCGTGTGGACGTTACGTTAGTTTGTGCCATTAATTTGCACCCAAAATGTCTAACACAAAATACTAAACCCTTGAAAATGTGAGATTTAAAACTTTAAAAAGTAATAGATAACCATGAAAAATCAGTAAAAAAGTATACAACAGTTGGGAATGAATCCTAAAGAGTCAGGGGGGAAGTCAGGATAACCCTGAACATGATTATCTTGAACGTATTTGAATAATCCAAAATATCAACAATAACCAAAAAAACAGAAATATTCAGGATTAGAGACAGGATTCTTGTACAAGACACAGTGAGTAACTAAAGCGAAAAAAAGACCTTCTTTCTTCAATGACTAACCACTGATTCATTAAACTGTCTATTATGTTGAGTGACTGAAGAAGAAAGGAACAAGGTGAGTGTGAGGGATAGTGAGCGGGCAGGTAAAACAAATAAATCCCTTTTATAGAAAGTGTTTGAGAGGCAGCAGCGCGGAGTATGGCTCCCAGAGATAACACAGCAGACTGGATTAATTTCCTGCCGCCGTTTCTGTTTCGCCGCTGTGATTTAAGACTGTTTACACTCGGGCAGCCGCAGCTCACTCCCTCACGCGCTCACTCCCAGGCTAATTACACAGCAGCTGCTCTATCTTCATGGCATTCTCACTCTGAGGCCTAATCAAAAGACCCTAAACCACAAGATCTGTTTGTTTTTTCTGTCCATGCTGCATCCACTTCCACTTTAACATGCGTGCTTTTATAAAGGGCTTTCCCTTTGTTGTTATGCTAATATCACCTGCAGCTTCTGATATTCACTGTATCTCATTTACATTAAACCTGCTCTAACACAGCGTCTTCATTATAAATTATGCCGGAAGGGGTTTTGGGTTGTATAATGCTGGACCGTTCAAGCTTTATTAATCTGTCAGTGGTTTTTTCCACTGGATATTAATTTAATAGCTTTCTCTGTTTGCTAATTTTGGCTTTTATTACCAGGTTGGATGTTTTAATCATGATTTGCTCGGAGGGGTCAGGATTTATAACCAGCTTATGCTTGTTTTGGTCCTCAAGAAAAATACATTGTTCAAGATTACATTTTCATATTTGACCGATCCATAAGTGTTCGAAACGGGAACAAAATAAATCAGATTGCTCCACTAGAGTTATGAATAATTTAACTTCATATTGGAAAATACTTTATATCATATATTACACAGTATAATATTACAGCACTGTCAGAATTTCTAATAAAATAGTTGCAAAACTTAAATAATAGATTTGTATTACTGAATACTGTATTTGAGTCTTAAAGTTTTTGCATGATGTATTTATTTAATCTATTTTTTCTTTCCTTGCAGTTTCTGGTATGAGTTGTCTAATCTATTAAAGCAGTATCTCAGTTTTCTATCAAATAAACCAGTCTTATTGCAATAAATACAGACTGTCAGGCCACCTTTTGAATTCCTTAAGCATTATAATGCGCTATTTGCTAAATTGCATTGCCTTTTTTAATATGATTTAATTTGTTAATGATTGAATAGCCCTTCCTCATATTTCAAACCAAACCTACACCTTTGTTTAAAAAGTGACTCTGTGGCAGAATCAGAATACCTTTATTAGTCCCACAGAGGGGACATTTACATTGTAACAGCAGAAAAGAGCCAAAGACAGCTTAATGTTACCTAAGAAGCATGAATAACAAATATTAAAGATGAACAAATTATAAAAATGACACAATTTACAAAATATACATCGTACATACAATTCTAGAGTGAACCAAAATATTTATTTTAAGGTTAATCCACTTAAATTGACCCAGAATATATATCCCAGAAACATGCTTCTTTCCTCTCTAAAATAAACCCTCGCTGCTGTCCTCCAGGCCTGCGTAAGGTGATGGTGCGTGCCCACAGACAGGCTTGGTGCTGGCAGGACGAGTGGTACGGCCTCACCATCGAGGACATCCGGCTGCTGGAGCTGGAGACGCAGCTGGCTTTAGCCAAGAAGATGGCCCAGTTCAGCCTGACTGAGGAGGGGGGGGCGGAGACGTCCGTCGGCCAGGACCAGGAGCAGGGGGCTCAGGCCGGGGGCTCGGCTGTAGAGGGAGAGGGGGGGAAGCTGGGAGACTCCCTGGAGACACGAGGGGAGCTCACCAAGCAGTGGTCCACCTCCTCCAGGTCCTCCAACAGGTCGTCCAAGAGAGGCGGTGAGGATTACTATTTACCTCATTTATTTATATCAATATTTTTTGGTGGCACCTAGAATATTACAACTGGATACATTTTTTGTATATGCGTTCACATACATTTGGATTATCCATGTTGTACTTTTATTTCAGAAAAGTATCATTCTCTTTTTTTAATATATAAACACGACATTTATTGCGTGTATGTCCGTCCTGGGAGATAGACCCTTCCTCTGTTGCGCTCCCTGATTTTTTTCCCATTTTTTCCCGCTTAATTGTGGGATTTCCTTGGTGGTTTTTTCTTGTACGCTGGGGGGCTCTAAGGACAGATGATGTTGTATGCTGTTAACACTGTAAAGCCCCCTGAGACAAATTTGTAATTGCGATATACTGTAAGGCTACTGTATGTAAATGAAATTTTATTGATTGATCATTTATTTTATATTTATTTTAGCAAATATCTTGTTGTTTCTCTGAAGATAAAAGGCATTGTTCAGATGTTTTGAAGTGGAGTTGAGCTGTATGAGATATTCTCCAAATGCAGTGTATTACCTGCAGTAGATAAAGAGTTAGCACCTCTCCAATCAATGGAGTCTATCTGTGCTTTTTAGAGAGCTGTGATAACAGAAACGGACTGTTGGACAGAAAAAGGTAAAGCAGTGGAAATATTCCAAACATAGCATACACTTAAACTGATATTGATTATTTTCTATGTGGCTACAATACATTTTCCTCCACCCCCGTCCACTGCACTATAATGCCCATACTTTTTCTCCAAACTGAGGACATGCCAACCACTGTTATTAATACACTGACTTTGGATAAGTGCATTATACTATCTTACTACTCCCAGCTTTAACATCACTACTTCCTGTTTTGTTTAATATGTTTATACAGGGAGTCCGTCTCACCAGAACATTTCAGAGTGGAGGATGCAGAGCATCGCCCGAGACTCGGATGACAGCACAGACGACGAGTTCTTCGATGCTCATGGTAAAAAATCTTCTCTTTCTTCATGATAAATAATACAACCCCAGCTTTATTTTGTATTTTAAACATGCACTATATGTGTTATGTGTTATTCAACATGACTATTTTGGTACTGCCTTTTGCCTTATACTGGATTTACAACATGAACACATTTGATTAGATAATTCGCTCTTATCATATCTCCCTTTGGGATGATTAATATAATATATCAAGGTAATCTCAATGTTTCATTCTAAATCCTTTTTCTGTTTGTTGAAGTTGTTATTTTGCCATGAAGTTCAGGTGATTTTCTTTTCTTAAATGAATGCATTTTATGTTCCGGACCTCTAAAAGAGGAACATTACGTTGTTATATTAGATTCAATAAATGTAACCTACAGCAAAGGGTCTTGCCCTTCAAAATGGCTGACAGAAAGATAATCAAGTAATTCTATCTATTAAGCTAATTTAAAAACACCAACAATAAAGGAATAAATATGGCTTTACAAGTTTAAATCGTGGGATTAACATTTATTTGGGTCTGTGTTATTAGATATTATTGCTCTAACGTGCAGAGATAGATTATTTATATCAGAAGCCCTCTGTGTATTTTGCAGAGGACTTTTCTGACAACGAGGAGATGTTTGCCAAAGAGATCACCAAGTGGAGCTCCAACGATCTGATGGACAAGATAGGAACAAACGAGATGGATGATGCACAAGGTGCTAAACTGATTTAAATAAAAACAGAGACTCATATTATTTTTGAACAGTTTTGGTCACATGAGATCCTGCAGTGAGATATTGTCCATTAAAGTTACTTTTATTGTGATCTTTGTGTATAATATAAACTTATTTTTCCCGAATGAATTTGTGTTTTTACAGAAACTATGTATCAGGAGTCGGGTGGGGAGTATGCTGTGATGAGTAATGATGAGAGGCAGATGGAGGTACACTTCCTTCACTCTTTTTTTATTTCATTCATGTCATCCTAACACACTAACACTAACATCTTCAATTAAATAGCGTTTAGCTTACACCCCCCCTCCTGAAATAGCTTCCAGTCATCCTGCCAGTGTAGTAAAACTCTCCACCGCAGCCGTCAGACTGTACAGTAGAAACATGGCCCCAACACTTTCACGATGCTATAAATACTGTGTGTTCTTGCTCTTTGTATTCAGCACCGTGCCTCAAAAAGAAAAAGACATAAATCCAACAGAAAAATAAATGTAAGTGTCAGTCCTGTAGCCAGTAGAGCATTGAAGAAAGTAGAAATAGACATTAGATGTCTTAGGAGTAGAAGCACTTTAAGGACGCCTGACAGCATTCATATTAATTACATTTAGTGTAGAATATAGTACTCACTATTTCTTGGCTACATTAAGTTACTGGTAGTGACCAATAAGTCACATGACCCCTGTCAATTGTCTAATTGTTGCTTTTAAACTTTGTTTTTTTGTAACATCCAAGGCAATCATCTCACCACAAGGTTCATTAATTGCTATTGAGATTTCAATCTTATCAAACAATCTTCAGCAGCTCAACTGATGCTTAGTTTCTAGTGGATAATACCGTCTGTATACAAATTACTCTTCAGGCTTCAGATTAACTGATTTGGTCTGAGAAAGAGTCCAAAACACAAACAAATTCAGTTTACAATCATTTTAATTGATTAAATGTAGTTTTCAATAGATGTATTTATTAATCAACTCGTTTAGCATTAGTTTTGTCCCTGCATGTTGCTCTTCTATCCTTTCCCCGTTTTTCCTGTTATCTGCCTGCTCCTTTCTCCCTATTAATCCTGTTTCCTGCCTCCTTTCCTCTCCTCTTACCTGCAGGACTGTTCATCTCAGCAGTGTCTCCAGACGTCCAAAACTCACGTCCTCGTTCTGGTCCTGCATGGAGGAAACATTCTGGACACTGGCTCTGGTACACCTGCAATCAAACCCTGCAACATTTTAATGAAACTCGCACTAGCTTAAATCAATTTGAACTTCTAACCCTAAAAAGTTAATATTGTGGCTTCAATCAATATTTTTTGTAAGGTTGAAAACCCTCAAAAGATGATGGCAACAATCTCTAGGTCTCGTTTTAGAGTCTCTCAGCTTATTGCTTTGGTTTTGGGGCCTCAAATTCACTGCTTAGATCACTCTCACAGTGCTATGGTGTCATTTCTGTCAGCAATTTTCAGAGAAAAAAACTCTAAAACATGACACCAACTGCAAAATGCAGAAAAGTACACAATAGGTAAAGAGAAAAATATAGCACTAAGGAGTGAGTAAAGATAAAAAAAGGAAGAGCCAAAATCAGAGGAACATTTAATCCTCAGGTAAACACAACAACAACAACAAATAATTCCAATGTTGCTCATTGTTTTAATCACAAATATTAGCAGTATCAACAAGAAGAGCCCACGGAGAACACAGACCTCCCATAAGGCCAAATGCTCTATTTGGCAGTGTTTACCAAAGGGATACTAGTTTGTTTGGGATGGGATCATTCTTGGCCCTTGCTAACACCATTTTACTTTCCATTTTCATTCAAATCAGGCTAGAAGTTGTTTTGTAATCTAGCTAAATACCGATAAACAAACTGAAACCATAACCTCAATGGCAGAGGTAATAATTATTGATCCATTCAGGAGGAAATCACCTCATTACAGCCTCAAACTGGTGCAGTAGTTCTCTCAAGATGTAATCTGAGGATGTCCAAACAAAAGACAGGATATAAAGAAGACAATTCTGCTGCAAAAATAATTCAAACTTCTGAAAAAAAGTGTAAAAGGGAAATGTTCTTGCAGCTTTTTGACCAATGCAACATGTTCTTCTTGTCTGCAGTTGAGCAGAGCGGCAAGCAGGCGGATATAAACACGCTGGGCGGGGCCTTTGAGACGGTGATGAGGGTCCACTACCCCGCAGTGCTGGGACGCATCGCCATCCGGATGGTCCCCTGTCCTGCTGTGTGTGTGGACGCATTCGCACTCGTCTCCAAGTGAGAGCCCTCTTGAGTGTTTAATTAATCTGCTGTAATACAACCTGCTGAGTGAATGCTATAACGACGGATAACAACGCGTCCTCCTCTCCGCAGCCTCAGCCCCTACAGCTACGACGAAGGCTGCCTGTCCAGCAGTCAGGACCACATCCCTCTGGCCGCGCTGCCCCTCTTAGCCACCGCCGCACCACAGTACCAAGAAGCCGTGGCCACCGTCATCTTACGAGCCAATCAGGTGTACAACGACTTCCTCAAGTCTGTGGAGGGATCGTCTTTCAACGGCCAGGTGAGTGTGTAACCAGGCAGGGCTGACACAATATCATACTTTCACCATATGATTATTGTGGCCAAAATGAAGAATTGGGATATTTGTAATACATTTAAAAATTAAATAAATAGATAATGCTTTCAGTCAAATCCATATTTAACTTTTTTGATTGTGCTTATTGGTTCACTTTTTGACTAATTACATGGAATTATGAGGACATTTGTGGAGAGAAAAAAAAAGCAAGAACAGAGACAAATGGAAACTAAGAGGCGCTGGAATATTCGCACAATATTATCAAAGTAAATAAATAATGCTATCAGTCAAATTCATCTTTGACTTATTCTGGGTGTATTGTGCCTTTTGTCTTTCATTCTGAAAATGAATTGCCCTCAAATGATGAGTGCGAGACAGGTAAAGACAAAGCGACAACAGAAAGAAACAGAAATGATTTAAGAAGCACTGGATTATTTAAAGAATATATATAAAACAATGCTCTCAGTGAAATTCATTGTTTTTAGTTTTTAATTATACTCAAATTGTGAGTGTAGGGAGGTGAGTCAGCACATTTTTGGAGGAAGACAAAAACTAAACTGAAAGAAATGGAAATGATTTAATAGGAGATGCATTATCTACACAATATTTCATCATATTTTTTATTTTCTTAATATGATATAAACTTTTGATGTTCTTCATTTCAAGGTTGATAATTCAATTGTCCGATACATTGTGACACCCCTACTTGGAAGGTTCATATTTTTCCTCGGTGGTTTGTTGATTAATGTGCATTCATGTTTTTGTGCTTCGTATTACAGGTGTGTGTTATTGGTGATTGTGTTGGAGGCATCCTGGGGTTTGACGCTTTGTGCAGCAGCTCGGTGATGGTGTCAGAAAGCCAGAACAGCAGCAGGCGGGGCAGCGCCATCAGTGTACAGGTAACATCTAACTACTCTCTGACATATACGGGGCTAGCACACACACTTTAGCATCTTAATGAGGCTTTCAGTGCTAAAATATAACATCAGCATTCGAAAAACCAGCAAACCAATCAATAGTTGTAATATTTCAGTTTGAGCTAATCAGCGTCTCATCCCTAATTGCCATGCTACTAGTCTGGCTGAAAATGTAGAAATGTTTTAATCCCGTTCAGCTTGACGATGTTCTCCTTGTCCTCTCTGTCTCTCAGGACACAGACCTCCTCTCTCCGGGTATCATCATCAACAGCGGCTCTCCTTCCTCCTCGCCGACCCTCGAAGGAAGCCGCCATCTCAGCCGCAGCAACATCGACATCCCCCGCTGCTCAGGGCCCGACGACCCCAAGAGACAACTTCCACGCAAACGCAGCGACTCGTCCACCTACGAGCTGGACACCATCAAACACCACCAGGCCTTCCTGTCCAGGTGAGACACAGGAATAGGCTTAAAGTATTCTGTAAATGTCGCCGAATGTTTACAGAGTTCAGTAATTTGTTAGTATTAATCAACAAAAACTAAAGCCATTTTTCTCTACCTTTATTTATTTGTATCTATTCAATGCATTTAGAGGGTTCAGCTGTTGTCATATTTTCGTCTGCCTGTATTTGCCCTTTGCTTAGTCATTCTTTTCAATTTGAACACAAGAAGTAGCCAACCGAAGGAAAACGTTAAGCGGCATTGACATCAGCAGCTCTCAATATTGTTACATTAGTTTACCTTTTTTGGATAGATACATGAAGAGGAAACTTAGCATTAAAACAATCACTTTTTCCTTTCATATCTGTTTCCTTTCGTATTTAGTTTTTAGTTGTACACCCCCTCTTTTTATTAATGAAAATAATTCATCTTCAATTTGAATTTCCCATTAAAGTTTCATTAACGACATTACCTGTGATTGTATGAATGTTTCCAGTCTCCACTCCAGCGTGCTCCTCGGGGAGCCCGGGTCTCGGCGCTCCAGCAGCAGCACCATGCTGGAAGGAGGCAGTTTGGGGAAGTTTGACTTTGAGGTGACCGACTTCTTCATGTTCGGCTCTCCTCTGGGGCTGGTGCTCGCTCTGAGGAAGACGGTGGTGCCCTCTTTAGATGGTGAGGAAGGTTTTGCTTATTTTGATATTGCGCATAGCTTATTGTAATTTTAAATAGTTAAAAGTCCCTTCTAAAAGTTGTTTTGTTTTGCTAGATAGCTTCTGCTGTATTTTCCCTCGTGGGATTCTCGTCTCCAGTAGCTGTAGAGCCGATGTCGGGATGCCCTTTTTTTCCCCCTCTTTTTATTATTTTACCTGTCTCACAGATTTGATTAATTAAGGTTTATTTTGGTCTATAATAAACCACACCATGACGATCAATTAATCACATCAAAACAATACTGTAGAAAGCAAAACAACTGAAATTATGTTTTTTTTAAGACTCAAAATGTGTGGGCTGAAATGACAAGCTTTTCTTAGAATAAATAGTTTGTTTGGCATAAAAAGTCACAGACAAGTCATAATATTTAACCGTTCATACATTAAAGAGTGGGCTACAATCATCATATCTAACAATCAAGAAAAAAGCAAGTGACTTTATTTTAACCAGTATGAATTTCAAACTAAATGCAATTTCAATACAAACTCTACAGCAGCCTGAACGTTTGGGTGCTGCTGAGCAGTGGTTTTATTTCTCACCTGTCTGCAGTGGTGTAGAACTGCAAAAAGGTTTGGTTACAGACATGAAACTTTCGACCAGAGATGAATAAAACTGGGTTATTTGACTTTTGAAATCGTAGTTTCCGGTATCATGTTGCAGTTTTTTAAATCTCTTGACCTCTCTCCCCCCCAGTGTCGGCTCTGCGTCCGGCCTGTCAGCAGGTGTACAACCTGTTTCACCCCGCCGACCCCTCGGCTTCGCGCCTCGAGCCTCTCCTGGACAAACGGTTCCACCTGCTGCCTCCCTTCAGTGTCCCTCGATACCAGCGCTTCCCTCTGGGCGATGGACACTCGGCTCTATTGGGTGAGTCAAACATACATTACATACTTTTAATATACTAAATGTAGATAAGTCTTTTAATCTTCTTCCGTTTAACTTGCTCCCTAGTTGAGACGATGCAGAGTAACCCTCAGCTTCTGATAGAGTCTGTTGGTGCAGTTTCTCACCGCCACCAGGACTTCACCGTCAATGAGACGTCCATCCCAGTGCCCGTCCTAAACTGGCAGCTCCACACAGACAGTACGTTTCCATTTAGCAATCATTTATGTTGCTCTTTTCATCTTTTTATCCCTCATGTTACTTATTCTACGGATAAAAAGGGAAAATCTAGATTATAACAACCTGAGTCTTCATTTTATAGTTGTAACAACGATTTGATAACCCGAAGTACTTCTGTGCAAACACAATGTTCTTGTGAATTTACGAGATTATTATTACTCACTTTAGATTTTGATCTCCATATAAACTTCTTTACAAACTGTCCGACTTTTTGACCGCTGATGTTTCATCAGACATCGTTGTAGCGTCGTGTTCCCAGATCACAACAATTATTTGCTGACACGCAGCTCTGCTCTCGTAAAAGTTTTGCTTCATTACATTAGGAAGTTGGCTGCTCGTCAGCGATGGACATGTGTTTAGCTTTATGATAAAGATAATGATTAAAATGCGGAAATTGTGTTTTTTTGGACTCTGTTCTTGTACAGGGGAGATGTTTGTTTGCAAACTGATCCCGCAGTGTTATCATAGCCAACAGAAAGTATGCCAAAGCTACAGAAATAAAATAAAATCATAATTACTTTGATTTTCACTGGACTTCTTTCTGCAGTAGAGAATATGACTTAAACCCTTTCTTCTGTCGCTGCAGCTGACTCTCTTCAGTCACATATTTTCGTCGACGGCCCCCTCCCCACGTCCCCGGGCGTCCCTCACCTGCGCTGCACCCGCAGGTCCAGCAGTGCCAGCATCGCCAGCCAGGTGTCGGGCCTTGCCGACTCGTACACCGCCTCCAACATCGCCACCAGTAAGTCGCGCTCTCACCTCCAGTGTGTGACCCAAGTTTTGGCCTACGAGCTGACAGTTTACATGTTCTCGTTTCCTCCTTCCTAACGCCCGCCCAGCCCACAAAACTGAAAAAAAGCCCAGCCTGCTGTCCCAGCTGGTGCTCCCCTACAATAAGTTTGCCTCTCGAAGAGCATCCATGCGGTCTCAAAGGAAAAGCCGTCAGATGCTCTCAAAACCCAACGGTGTGGAGTCTGAGCACAGCTCGGAGGTTAGCTTTGACTTCAACGATGTCGCGTCTGACATCGCAGACATCAGCTCGGCCCCCCCGTCACCCGGGTTGCTGAAGAACATTGGGAAAGGTACCCTGGGAGCTGTAGTGAAAGGACAAGAAGGAAGGATGTTAGACTCCATCCTTGTTCCCTGTGCACTTTCCCTTCTCCTCTGAAATCTTCCTCTCTGGGATAGTCCTTCTCAGTACTCCTGATTCCAAAAACAAATCCTGCAATCTCCTCTTACGCTCAGGTTTATGAGAACCACTTCCGTGTTTTTCTTTTGCAAAACCACCAGAAATTAACTGGCCAGGTTCTCACAAAGTCTGAGCTGTTTTTTCCCTGCAAGTGTGCATTTCCGAACCTTTTCACAACCCTTCACTCTGCATTTTGATGAACTGTTTGGACTTTAGTTTTGGTGCCCTTTAAAGGAATACTTCAGCCACAAAATTGAGATTCGTATATCAATTACTTACTTTGAATTTGCGAGGAAAACATGCCTGCACTTTTCTTGCATGCCTCCATTTTGTTGAAAACTGAGAAAAGTCTTGATGAATTTAAGTAAAAGGGGGCCACAATGAACAACAGCAAAACTATATCAAAATATTTGTTTTAAACCCCCACACAACTTGTGCAGTATAATCCAAGCCTTTTTTATCCAGTCAACTCTCACACACAAAACACATGCACTTTTCCTAAAACCTTGCTATTCAATACACTCCCATATAAAGTAAAAGATACACAATGATCAACTTTCCCTTTTAACACTGTTTTAACTTTTTCCAGTTTATGATAACCCTAAAGAACTTACCTCTGAATGAATGTAGGCTGTAGATCTGCGTTGGAAAAACCCTAACAGAGATGAGAAACGGGAGGCACAGATTACTAACCTCCCTCTGTTTTTCTTTCCTTCTCTAGTTGCTTCTCGCTGGTGGGGCAGTAAGAGGATGGACTACGCTCTGTACTGCCCTGACGCTCTGACTGCGTTCCCCACGGTCGCTCTGCCTCATCTCTTCCACGCCTCCTACTGGGAGTCCACAGACGTCGTCTCCTTCTTACTCAGACAGGTTTGTTCCCTCTCTCTGTTAAATCAGAATTTAAGTCATTTTATCTGTAAATGAAAGTCAAAGGTCAACAACAATCAACCATTTTTGCATGGTTTGAAATTAAATTGAATAAAGATATTAATTGTTTCCAGAGGAGGAAACTGGTGTTTGGTGTAAAAGCATCAGCAGGTTGACTCTTTTGCTTTATAGTGAAATCTCTTGATAAATATTCAATGCGATGACATTTGGTTAAAGTCCTCTTGTTCCCCTATGTGAAGTGTAATCATTTTGATATCCTGAACCTTTTTTCTACTTATTGTTATGGTTTCTTAATAGATTTTAAGTGTCACAGTTCTCTCATCCTTGTCTTCAAACTGAAAATTAAGCTGATGCTAAAATCTAGAGCGGAGTGAAAAGGACAAAACCATAAATCTTCTTAAGTGAAATGAAGCAAAGTGTACTTGATGCTACATCAATTTTAAAGATTATGTATTTATTCATTGCAGTGATGAACCAGAATATTCAGATGAAGTTGCTAAGCAAGCAGAAAAAAGTGCCTACTTAAGCACCAAAATATTTCAAAAACTTAAACAAAAAAATGGCTTCTTTATGGCTTCTATCTTTATGAAGATCAGGATGACTGTAAATCTAAATATTTACTACAGGTTATGAAACAAGGTAATACTTAAAATGTTCTTGGCTGGCTTTTTATAACAAAAATGTATGATCTCCCCCAGGTGATGAGACATGAGAACTCCAGTATTTTGGAGCTGGATGGTAAAGAAGTGTCTGAATTCACTCCATCCAAACCTCGGGAGAAGTGGCTCCGCAAGAGGACTCATGTTAAAATTCGGGTAAGATCTCTCTTCCTTTTTAAGTGCTTTTCCTAGAAAAACATTTGAAATGTGATTGTAATATTGTATTTTATAACTTATTCTGGTTTAGTCAGACTCCACCTTAAACACACTTTACCGTTACATTTTTATCAATTATTTGATTTATTAAGAGACAAGCTGCTGCATCAGCTTAATACAATGCAAACAGGACATTCATATGTATAGTAGGACTTTACTTGGTTATTAGCATAGTACAGTCCCATTTAACAAGAGTTAAGGTGAGAAACCTTAATTGCTGATCTTAATTAACCATTTTATCACAAAAATATGACATCTTTAGTTACAGAAAACACAAAATAAAATGAGTTGGACAGTATTTCTGATTCCTGTTTTGTGCTCTTCTATGTCAGAACGTGACAGCAAACCACAGAGTGAACGACGCCGTGTTCGTGGAGGACGGAGCCCAGATGGTGATGGGACGTTTTATGTACGGCCCCCTAGACATGGTCACCCTCACTGGAGAGAAGGTACTGATGAAAGACAAACAAACTATGTGTTATTAAGGGTCACACACAGTGTTGTAAATATATTTGTGTTGTTTCCTGCAGATTGACATCCACATCATGACCCAGCCTCCCTCTGGAGAGTGGGTGTACTTCAACACGGAGCTCACCAACAGCAGCGGACGCGTCTCTTATGTGATCCCTGAGGGCAAGAAGCTGGGTATCGGGGTTTATCCTGTCAAGATGGTCGTAAGGTGTGCTGAGTCATTGGTATTTCAATTGAAAACAAAATTCCTTGTACATCTCCTCCCTTTAAAATATCTTCCATCTTTCTCTCTCAGGGGAGACCACACAGTTGCAGACAGCTATATTTCTGTGGTACCACGAGGAACAGAGTTTGTTGTTTTCAGTATTGACGGCTCATTCGCTGCCAGCGTGTCTATAATGGGCAGCGATCCAAAAGTCCGAGCTGGAGCTGTGGATGTGGTGAGGTAAGGATCATCATAACCGTTTACTTTATAGTAATATATACACAAAGGTTATCAGGGTGGATTTATTATACATCAACTGTAAAAGCTGTAGCCCACTCAAACTAAGCTACTTAGTTATGTTTGTTTTTGTTTCGGAGTAAATACAGAGGCACATATTACTAAAATATTGCACTATATGGCAATATATTTGAAAATACATATAGTTTAGTTTTTGTATCAGTTTCTTGCCAAATATCTGGCAGATGCCACATGAAATTAAAAGAAACTGCTGTTTTACAAAAATCTTAAAAAAGTAGAATAAAAATAAGTGTAATGTTTTTTAATGTATTTAAATTAATTTGTATTCATATAAATAAAATGTATTATTATTATTATTATTATTAATAATATAAATAAAGTAAGTCCATAATGGAGCATTTGGCTGCTAATGCCAGATATGTCCCTCCGTACTGGTCTTAAAGGTGATCCCGAACTCTGCTTTTCCTAAATTAATGCTGTGCTCCTTTAAATGTATTTGTTTTTTGCAGATACTGGCAGGACTTGGGCTACTTGATAGTATATGTAACGGGTCGTCCGGACATGCAGAAGCAGCGCGTGGTGGCCTGGCTCTCTCAGCATAACTTCCCTCACGGCATCGTCTCCTTCTGCGACGGACTGGTACACGACCCGCTCCGGCACAAGGCCAACTTCCTAAAATGTCTCATCAGCGAGGTAAGGCAGGTCCCTTTGACTTTGGGGAATGTGTTCTGTTAAAATCCTTGAATCCTCCAAAAGCTGACCTCCCTCTTTGATTAGGCCAACATGAGGATCTTTGCTGCCTACGGCTCCACCAAGGACATCTCAGTGTACTCGTCTCTTGGCCTGCCTTCCTCCCATATCTACATCGTGGGAAGGCCCACCAAGAAGATGCTGCAGCAGTGTCAGGTACGGAGTAAATCCTGATAGCAAAGGCAGAAATTCTACGGTTAACAAAAAGTGCAAACACAGAAGTAGTTTAACGATTGCCACGAGTATACAAGTAAATTCATCATAATCATTTTAACAGTCTGCTTTGTTGGTCTCACCTACTTTTAAAACTCTAATAATAAAAACACTGTTAAAAGAAGAATAATTCAAATGTGTTGGTTGAATAAAGTACCAGTAAAACTGTCTAAAAGCACTTATAATTCTTTAACTATTTAGTTATTTTAGCTGTCAAGTACATTTGAGTTGAGTAGTACTGTAAGTAACATAAATCAAATACTCCAAGAATGAATGACAAGTGCCTCTCAATTTTACTTGAGTAAATGTAAAAATTGGCATCATTCTACTGTTTTCAATACTATAAAAAAGTTTTAATTTGTATTCCTTGCACAATGGAGGGGATGTTTCTTTCATCATCACAGGGCAGATACACAAATTACTTTGTATTTCTGTAATCAATGCGATGTAGTACATTTAGCCTTGGTAGAAGTCTCTGCTCTCCAATTTCTTTTAACTTGTGTGTGTTTAATATCACGCACTGTTTGGATTTTGGTTGTCAATACATGTATCTGATTTACTTTACCTCTCTTCCAGTTCATTCCAGATGGCTACGCTTCCCACCTGTCCCAGCTGGAGTACAATCAGAGGTCCCGCCCGGCCAAGTCGGCCAGCACCCGCATGGTCCTCCGCAAGGGCAGCTTTGGGCTGGGGGCAGCCGGAGGAGACTTCCTTCGCAAGCGCAATCACATCTTCCGCACCATCTCCACAAAGAAGTCTGCGGGGGCGGGGTCGGCCTCTCCAAACCCGACGGGGCGGACGGAGCGAACCCTCAGCCAGTGTGAGATGGAGCGGGAGCGAGCGACCGGGCCAGCGACCCAGAGGAGTATGAGTATTGCTGCAGGGTGCTGGGGTCGCACGGGGAGCGGCAAGGAGGGCAGTGGAGGGTTACTCGGCCCTAAATAAGGTTCAGATTGGAGCTGTGGTGGTAGAGGACGCTGCCTGAGTCAACATGATCTCTGGATTGGACCCAGAGAGAAGAGTGGAAGAAGAAAAGGTGGAAGGAGGGTTTGAATTTTAGGAAATAAAGGAATAGGTGGTTATAGCATGAAAACACTTGATCATCAGTGATAGAGAAGGATCTGTCCAGGAGGAGAGGACTAATCAGGCCAAATGGGATCCAGCGAACAAAAGACAATTCTGTAGCATGACTCTTTTACAGTAATACTTTTATAGGATACATTATAAACTATAGAAAATGGTGACAAGGAAGGATTAAATGAAATATTGTAAGCCTTAAACTAATCTCGTATAACGGGACCCCACCTCCATACACACACACACACACACACACACACACACACACACACACACACACACACACACACACACACACACACACACACACACATTTAAACAACACACTGTCCATTCACACTCATGAGCTCAGGACAAACTGCAGAGCCAGATTCATCTTCAAACAATCGAGCACGGGTTTGAGGCCAAGTTGACTGGCAGCCATGACAAAGAGTTGAAGACTTTCACTACTGTTTCTGTCCCAATGTCAGCTGAGCAACAACATGTTTCAATCACATCCCTCTACCCAGGAATGACTGGCAATCAGTACAGAATACAGTCAGCTCATCCTAATTACATAAAGGAAATAGTTTCTCACTTTTCTCTACCATGCAGGTACTTTTGGGTTCAATTTTAATCGTTCACGCGCTTCTGTTTCTCCCGCTGTTGCCTCACTGATTCAAGAAAGTGAGATGATAATTCATCTTTATCTGTGACTCAAACTGTGCCGTGTTGGGTCCTTATATTTTAAGCAATTGGCCCTCGAAACAAGTCCTTGAACTTAATATTCAAGAACGTCTGGTAACCGTGCATTTAGCTCATGTGCAGCCTCATTAGCACCTAGCTGCAGAATCAGTCTTATTTAAATGCTAGTTTCCAATGCTGCAAGGACCACAATTGCAGTGAGGTGGAGACAGAAACTATTAAACCATGACTGTCTGCGTGAATATATACTATCATAGAGAAGTGAGAAATAATGTTTTCTTTGGTAGTTTAGGTGAACTGATCCTTTAAACACCTGAGGGCTGGATTTGAAATATACAATATATATCAGAGGTGAAAGTACTTTGTATCTCCACACAATACATTATGCTAGTTTCATTCCCCTTTGTGTTTATGTGTGTGTGTGGGAGACTCTGTAGTATTTTCCCTTTCAGTGTGGCCTCTGGGCCATCCAAGGCCTTAATATCCAACAACACACTTGCTCCACAGATGGAACAGAGAGCAGACAAACAGGGCATGCAGCATTAAAGCAACAACAGAGACTCTGTACAGTCAACAGCAACAATCCCTTTATATATTCATCGGCTTGCAATACCTCTGACCCGCCTGTTGGTGGCGTTCTGTTCCCCACATGTGCTGCTGCTGGGAGACACTTGTGTGTTGTTCCCCGGCTTCCTGCTCTTTTGGATGGATGGAGGATGGACATGGTGTTTCTGCTGAGGAGCCTGATTCATTTCAGGCGTGACTCTTGGAGGGATGGAGGCAGTGTTTCCATGTAGCTCTCACTCACAGAGACCTGTTAACCTGACAGTATTTTTACCAAACTGACTGAAGAATGGGGCCGGAAGTGATTCAGCATGAATGTTGAAAAGACTGCATCGAAATCACCGCTGCCCTCATAAGAGCAAACATCATGTTGCTGCTTCCGTCTACTGAACTGTATATTTTCATACAAAAGCGACGTAGAAGAAGAAGCGTCCTCACATCTCCAGTCCAAAATGCAAACGTTGTGCTCAAAATAGTTTCCAGTGCTGATGCCATCCTCGCTCCTCTAAGGAAAAGTTCACACTTTTTCAAAGTCTGATTCAAAACAATAGTTGGGTGCTTTAATCATTGCTCCTGTTCATAGTGTTCATTTAAAGATTTGTATTGCTCTTCCAATTTAAGGGATAGGGGGAAATCCCATTAGAGAAAGCCTTCGATCTATGCCAGGATGTGTTAAAACTAAAGTATATTGAAGTATGAACAAAGTCAGTATCAAGTGAATATTTATTGACTTTTTAAGTATGACATTTGAGCAAAACAACATTTTGGACAAATTCCAGGTTTTGTTGAGTGATTTTAAATGATATAATTAGGTACTCAAAGTGGGCATTCAGGTGATGGAGTGGTTTCAATCACATTTACTGTAACCCATAGATCGAAATCGCTTATGATTAATAATTCAAACCATGTTTTGAAAATTCTACATCCCTTTAAATTCTTTAAATATTGAGAAGAGTTGTGACTAGCGAAGAGTTCCTCTCGTGGTAAAGTCTTGAGCGTTGGGTCTTTACATTTTGGTATACGCTTTTTTTTTTACGTTTAAATCGAAAATAAAAATCTTTCCTACTAGGTACTAGACACATTTGTAAGATATTAACTTGCATTTTTGCTTATGTTAAAGCCTCACTAAACATTGTCGTGCATATTTGCCCTGAAGGGACTGTGTATTTTGTCCTCCATACTGGAAGCACATTGAAAAAGGATCCTTCAATCAGCCATTTTGGATTTTCATATGGGAACCCAACTTTTGTTTTCAGACAGACTTGAGAAACTGTGAAGCCCTCCTTTAAACCCATGAAAGCTTTTTGATGCGTGGAACAGTTGTACCTCTTGTTCACGTCATTTTACTATGCTGTTGTTTTATGCCCAGCTTCCACTCCACACAAGAGTGTCTGTTTCCACTCTGTGTGATCAGCAATGTCTTCAACCCGACACAAAAGCCAAAATCATTCTCTAAATACTGTAGTTAATCAACTGTGTAACCTCATTGTTGTTTTTTTGCACTAGTTAATGGTGGGAATATACTGTAGTTACCATCTCATGTTGCTACATTTGGACAACTCTGTAGTGCATGACACTTTGTTCATTTCAGGGTATACTGTATGTGCAGGTACGCACACGTCTGTATATTTTGTCAGAAAATGAAAATAATGTAAGTATATGTGCCAAACAGTAAACAGTTTGAGAGGATAAGTATTTAGACTAGGGGTTTTCTGACACTGTGGCTCCCCCCAACACACCGTCCTCCTACTCTCATAACAATATTAACCTTTGTCTTACATTTATTTGGAAAATAATCATGTTTTGGAGCTAGGTTTCCCATAATGATTTGCAAGATGTAAAAAAGGAAGTATGGGGCCCCATAAAAAACAAAATAACAACATATTTTTGTTCACAATTTCGAAGGACATCAAATTACGGCAGAATTTGTGGCAATAAGGTGCCAACTGTTTTAAATTACCTTTATGTCCTCCATCAGCTGCATGCAACAGTGTTGGTGAATTGCCAAATCAGAAACTACAATAATTTGGTTTTAGAGCTCCTGCTTGCACCAGTGTCTTGCACCTGCCTCACCTTCCTTCAATAATTGACCTGGGGTGCCCCAGAGTTTGAAAACCCCTGATTTAGACTGTATCCAACATTTTCTTTCCGTAACAGGGGAAAAGTGTACTGAGAGCATTACTTACTGTACTACTTGACTGGATTATCATGATTTTTGGTGACTACACCTTCTTAATCTAATGTCGTCCATGTCTGAGGATGAAAAAAGTGGCTTTAATGGAAAGCTGAAGATGTATTTTTAGCTTTGAATTGAGAGAAAAAGGTGACCATGCTGCTGTAATCGTGGACAGTAAGGATTTTAGCGAGATGTCACAGATCTTTTTAGTGCTGTTGGTAGCAGTTTTTTGGCTACAGACACATCGTTACCCCATTTAGCCGATTGGCTGCTGTTGAATGTCCGCCCGTTTTATTCTGAGGCTGTTCAGAAGCCATGGATGTGTCAGTGTACATACTGTAAAGATGTATATGTAGGACTTATATGGTTGAGAGTTATTTATTTACCTAAAGATCATAATGTTACTCTGGAAATTTCAGGTGAAATATATTTGAAAATATGTAGCATTTTATTTGTCACTTTGGCGGTCATTAAGGCTAAGGACCAACACAAAGTTTTTTTTAGTTTTTACCAGTGCAATATTATTGTTCCAATCACAGCCAGGCAAAACCGCTATCACAGCAGGGGCACAATATACCACAATACAAGCTACAGGCAATCCACAGTCTGAAATCATACACACACACCTGCAGTTGTTTCACGTCTCGTGAAGACTATTTGTATCTGAGCTACTGTTGACCTCTGCTGTCTCTCTTTACAACAGGCAACCACTGAACGTTTTATAGGACTTACTGTACCTATTTTTCAAACTGGAGTATTTTACAAGACCTTTGAGATATAACTGGGGACTGTTTTTTCAGTCACCAGTGGGTGCATGAAGAAGTGAAAAATCCCGTAAACGAAGCAGCTCTATTTAACAAGCTGTTGCATGTCATCCAGTCAGATTGGAACTACTTAACCTTCATGCTTAACAATAATAAACCAGTTATGTTGTCCTCAATGTCCTCACTGTCTAATGAAATATATATCAAACCATTATCCTGAATATATTTGAGATTATTGCAATTATTGCCACATTTGGATAAAACGCTTAAAGAACCATATTCGGCTTAGTTTTGAAACACACAGTCCAGAACTAGTTTTATTCATTACTAAACGTTTTGTGGTACCACTTTATAATAAAGCACCCTATATGATCTTTATTAATCACCCATTAATAAAGTAATTACTCACAACTTGTAAATCCTATGTAACGGCCGGGTGCCTTATTGTTACGTTGTACCAATATTCTGTATTATTCTCAATTATTTATAAATCCCAACACTGGGGTTGTTATACATTTTAAATAATCAACTGAATTAAATAGTGATACACAACATAACTCTAGGTCTGTGACATAAATATATGGTGGCAATCATTCAGATATATTTTGGATATTTGCAGTGTTTAAAATGTTAGATTAAAGATTGACAAATGTTAAAGTATTTCACTTTATTTTAACCCTGTTATTTAGCATTTATAAGCAGTATGTACACAGTTCAGAATTGGATTGTAAACAGTTATTGCATACTTACTAGAGTAAATGCTTTATGACACCGTGTAAGGATTTACTCATGCTGCATGATTACAACTTTTGTGTTATGTCAGGTTAAATTGACTTTTTATCAATGTTTGTTTATGATCATCACACTACCAAACATTATAGTTTTATACTCTGTCTAGTGTTATTGTACTGCCTATAGATGCTAAACAGGGGGCTTTAAATGACAATATTACCAGTATTTCTCTGTATTCTTTTAGCAACTGTATACAAACGGCCATAAACAATTTTTAAATGATTGGTAAGTGTTATCCTTTCATAAATGACATTAACAACCACTGTTAAAAGCTCTGTGTCCTTGGTTAAGAACACCAGTATGTTGTTTTCAGACAGAGGATACAGTAGGTGCTGATGTCTCATAGTTCATGTTCAGGCAGATCGGGCCGGACTCTCTCTACCATTGTCTGTTCTGTGGAATAAATTACAATTGGACGGTAACTCAACATGTCTGTGTGATTTTATTTGACATAATACTTTGAGATGAATATCTGGAAATGTTTTTCTACCCATCCCTTTTCTTCTAGCAAAATACTTGTATCTAATACTTAGGTTTATGAACAAAATACCTACAAGTTATAACATTACTGCTGTACTTATTGGAAATCGTGTTAGCATGCCAACATGCTCTAGCTGTTTTACTCCCAGTTTAAAGGTAGAGTAGGTAATTCACTTCAGAAACACTTTTTGTTATATTCCATGGAATGCTCTTAACATCCCGATAGCAATGAATAAATTAAATGCTTTGACAATAAATATATACAAATATTTCATCTGTGGAAGCCGTGGCGCTGTAAAAAACAAATCCAATTATCTGCCTCGGCCCGTGGCAGATAATTGGATGGCCAACCTGCCTGTCAGCCTTCCATCTCGTGCACAAACTTATCTCGTGCCCTCATTGGTGCACGTTCGTGTGTGTTGGAGGCAGTGGCGTTTTCTCCTGGAGGCCAAGGGAAGCCAGGCTTCCCCTGTTTTTTCGGATTGTAATTATAATTTTAATAAATAAATAAAAACACTTCGTTTAGTTTCGGAAATTCTTTGTTCTGTGTTGCTGCCGGTGTCGGTACCAGATGTGTTCGGGGTACCATATGTGTTCGGGGTCCGTCTCTTACCAGTGACGTCAAGACGTACGACGTCACGACGTAATGACGTCAATGACGTCACGCATTGTGATTGGCTGTACGGTAATTTACCCACGCTGTCTAGAGTATAGAGGGGTTTTTTGATCATTACATTACATTGCATTTAGCTGACGCTTAAGTGCATTCGACCAACAGGATCAAAACTTGAAGAAATACAATAAAACTTGAAGAAAAACAAAGACGAATGAGGAGAAGAACAAGAGAAATCGAAGGTAAGAAGTATATAACGTAATATGGTAGGTAATATGTAATATGTTCAGTGCCGTTGGCA